AAAAAAAAATTTAAAAAAAAAAAAACTTAAAAAAAAAAAAAAAAAAAAAAAAAAAAGGAGAAGCAGCAGCAACAGCAGAGATGAGTCCTGGAGCAGAATGCTTGGCTCCGTGACTGGCTGTGTGACCTTAGGTAAGTTACGTAGACTACCACGCCTCACTTTCTTCAAAGGTAAAAGGGGGAAAATAGAGTTATAAGTACATTTACCTCCTGGAGTGACTGTGACCAGCAAATAAGCTAATTCATAGGCAAAGGCTCAGAATGGTACCTGACACACAGGAAGTGCTGAAAGCTGAAACAGAATATTAACAAAATACAAAGCTATTTTCTGTTAATTGGAGAGGACATAGTACTCCAGCAAGAAAATCACTGGGTAATAAAGGCAAAAGGAAATGAATGACAAGTTATTCAAATTTTCAGTGAAAATACTTGTAATAATGCTGCATTGACTCCACGACTACCCCTTGGTCTATTTTTCACTTTTGTACATACGTGACTAGCTGAAAATAAATCTGTTAGACTTCCAGGGCTTCCCTGGTGGCGCAATGGTTAAGATCTGCCTGCCAATGCAGGGGACATGGGTTTGAACCCTGGTCTGGGAAGATCCCACATGCCACAGAGCAACTAAGCCCGTGTGCCACAACTAATGAGCCTGTGAGACACAACTACTGAAGCCTGCACGCCTAGAGCCCATAATGAGAAAAGCCACCGCAATGAGAAGCCCGCACACCACAATGAAGAGTAGCCCCCGTCTGCAGCAACTAGACAAAGCCTGTGTGCAGGAATGAAGACCCGACACAGCCATACATACATACATACATAAATAAAATTTTTTAAAAACTCAGACTTCCGTAGCATAAAGAAATATATATGTTGAATTCTGGATAATTTTTAATTTTTTCAGATGTTCCTTTTTGCGGGAAGTCACTGCACCGACCTTTGATCAGCTTTGGAAGTGGTAGGAAAAATGTCTTCTTCGGTATCTGACTCATCTACCACAATCACCTAAGGGGGAGAAACACAACAGCAAATAGTCTTTGTGGGAATGGAAAATCTGAATAAAAATGCATTAACCAATGTCCAAAAATATATATTTTTATAAAAAGTTACAAAAAAGGAGGCAGATACCATGTAAGCAATAACCATGAAAACTAAAGCTCTGCCTAACCTCCCCACTAATGTCACTCTTCATTTACAAATGGTTTTTTTATACAACATGTGTGAGCTCACTTCTACTACCACGGCAGCCCGGGTACCTATAGGAACATGCACTCAGATTGGTGAATGACTCACACTGGGTCATGTGCGGACAGTGCCCTGTGATTTTCTTGGGTTCCAATGAGGAACTAGGCCATCGGTGCTTCATCTCCAATTTTAAATGAGGTATAAGACCGTGTGGGAAGTACCGGATATCTGTTTTTCTGTTACATTTATCCCTGTTAAATACCACTTGCTGCTTTTAAGCCCCATGAAAGATACTTGCGATTCTTGATACTATCATCCAAATTACTACCTACTCCTCTACATTTTGTGTTACCGTGACACTTAATACACACATTTGCCATGTCTTCATCCAACTGATAAAGCCAAAGACAAAATAGTGAAAAAAGCAGCACTTGAGACCCACCCCCCACCCAAGGCTGACATTGAACTATTAATCAAAGACCATTAAATGAAGTTGTCTAAATGGCTATGAATCCAGCCGATATTTCTGCATTTTGTCCATGAAACAATCAGGAGATTGTCTTAAGTGCCTTGAAGGAATCAAATGCCTTTGGCATTTCCCTGATCTACCACTATGTCCCCTCAATCAGAAAAATGAAAGAAAAAGTAACCATGACTTGCTCTTTCTGAACTCATGTTCTTGCATATTATAAAAGAAAAATCTAGAAGGGAAGCTACCTTGTGGACATGATGATAATTTTGTTTTCAGATATGATCTTGAAGCGATAGCAGGCAATAGTTGAATAGGAATAATGAAATGGAGCTCAGGATAAAAGTTAGCACCAGTATACCCATATATAATTGTATAATAATAAGAGAGGAAAAAACAAAAAAACAGAGAAGTTTTCTGGAAGAGGAGGTGGTCAATTGTGTCACAAACTCAAGAGATCAAGGAGTGAAATTTGAGAAAATGCTGGTGGGGCAGTATGATATAGAACAACGATTCTCAACTAGGTGTGATTTTTAACCCCCCCTCCCATCCCAGAAACATCTGGACATGTCAGGAGACATTTTGATTATCATAACTAGGGGAGACACCCCAGGCATCTAGTACGTAGAGGCCAGGGATGGTGCCTGGGAAGTAAGACACATGTGTTTTGAAAGAGAGGTAACAGGAGAATCAAGCCCATTCTGGACTCTTCTTGCAATCCAAAGGAAGAGCAGAAGTTTCATGTTAAATCTAGAGCTGAACACAGAGGTCCGTAGACTCAGACCTTATAGCTTGTCTTGAATCTGGCTTCAGCCATTAAGACACAAGCCAGAGTATGATGGGAGTATAAGTAACAAAAGGACGCCAGCAATAAATAAGACCTCTCTACGCACTGAACGCCCAACTTCAATCATAGTTTTCCATGCATGGACTCTTCTGGTTCAACGTTATTATGCTTAAAAATATTACTGGATACATACATTTATGGGTGTCCAATCACGCGATCCATTATTAAAGAAAGAAAAAGAGGAACCCTCCTCCCGTGCAGAAACCATAGAAGCCCTCAGTCTAGATAATCAGTAAAGTTCTCTGCAGTTTTAATGTTCCACATTTTTTCTTCTTTTATTTACTTTGTAGACCAAAGAATTGACAATCATAATGTAGGAAACACAAATTGGTACACAGTTAGAAAACTTCTTTTCTTACCTCTGAATAATTCTTAGTAGCAACATTTTGGGAGGGCTGCTGTCTTGCAGCTTTAAAGGCTATAATGGAAAAGATTAAACATCCATTATGTTATTCTTAAAAAAGCTTAGAAAAATTTGCACACTTCTTTAGCTGACGGTTTTCTAAGTCCTATCTGCAAAAATCCATGATGACTAATTATAAAACCACTTGATATGCTTTAAAATCGGGAGATGGAATTATATGTCTAACTACCAGTCTCATATGATTTCCCAGTTTACTCAAATAAAGTAGTAAGCAGTGTTCATAAACACACCTACACTAAAAATATTTTATGGAAAAATACCTGAAGGATAAAATCTGATCACCTAATGGACTGAACTCCAAATACAGTAAAAGTAACCCTCCTCAGGTCTTCCTTCTCTTATAGTTGGCAATCTCTTTCCCTGTGGGAGCCACATGGTTCCAGTAAGCGCCTCCTTATTCTCCTCTTTGTTAGAAATATTCAGTACCTAAGAAATAGTCCAGAGGGAATGCTAGAAAACGGCCTATCTTTCATTCCATGATAACCTTCCTATGAATCCTTACATTTTCAGCTTTGTAAACTTGGTTAGAAACATGAAGTTTAGTTAATTTTTATTTTTCCTGAGACCAAAACTATAATATTTTGATTTTCCAGTAAGAAATATGTTTGGTCTTCATCCACATTTCTGGCAGAGAGCCCCTAAAACCCTAATTTCCTAAAACAATGAGAGCCATCAAGGTGGTTTTTGTTATGTTAATGAGGTAACTTTGGGACCACAACTGAGGAGGGAGGCTGGTTACCAGGGGAACCAACCAGGAATAGAGGGTTTGAACTTTCAGTCCCATCCCCGATTTCTGGGGAGGGAAGAGGAGCTAGAGGTTGAATCAATCACCAACAGCCAATGATTTAATCTATCATTCCTGTGTAGTGGAGCCTCCATAAAAACCCAAAAGGAAGGGGGTTCAGAGAGCTTCCACGTGGTGAATCAAGATGCTTCCACGTGCCACCATGCTTGGACCCCAAACTCAATGAGGACACAAGCTCCTTTGTTCTGGACTTTGCCCTATACATCTCTTCATCTGGCTATTGATTCATATCCTTTCATATCTTTTGTAATAAACCAGTAATCTAGTGAGTAAACTAGTTTCCTGAGTTCTGTGAGCCACTCTAGCAAGTTAATTGAATCCAAGGAGGGAGTCATGCGGACCTCTGACTGATAGCCTATGAGTCAGAAGTACAGATAACAACCTGGACTTGTGACTGGCATCTGAAGTAGAGGGGGGCAGTCTTCTGGAACTGAGTCCTTCCCCTGTGGGATCTGATGCTGTCTCTGGGCAGGTAGTGTCAGAATTGAGTTGACTTGCAGGACACCCAGCAGGTGTCTGAGGACTGCTTGGTGGTGTGGGTAACCACCCCCCGCCTCACACACAACCCCCACTGGAATTAAGTGCAGATTATTAAAAACCTAGAATAAAATTTACAGAGCCAATTAGAGGTTTAATTTTCTCCTACGCCTTACCAGTTTCCTAATACAAAAAAAAAGGTTTCCCCCAAGATAACCCCCAAACTAAACAACAGAGCAAGAGGAGATAAAAAGACAGAGGACTTGAAGAAGTCAAATGCTCAAAGAACCCTACAAAGTCCAAAATTCTCCTAGTCAGAAAACCCAGGAATCTTTCCACCTAGTCTAAATTTATGATTTACTCATTCTTCCTATTCCAGGTTCTATCCCCAATCTTAGGATGTCTACCTGAGTGGAAAAAGGAAAGGCAGAAGCAGAGTTCTTACCCACCCTACTCAATCACTAGCCTCACATCCTACTCTACTCAAAAGGCTGGAGAGGGCAACTGAACGAAAAGGCCAGCAATCATGACTCTTTCAAAAACTATTTCTGCTCAATCGTTATTCACTGATTGACCCCTCAAACTCTCGGCTCCTGGAAGAAACGAGAGCCTTCCTTTCTTTTTACCCCCAATAAATATTTGTGTGATAAATTAACATTATCAGAAAATTAAGCACTCGGTTCTGTTAGAAAGGCAATACATACTGTATTGGGGGTTAAAAGCTCTGGTTTTAGAGTTAGAGCCATGTGGACTCACTAGTTGGGTGACTGTGGCCAAGTTCCTTGGCTTCGTCAAGTCTCGGTTTCCCCACCTATAAAACAGTGTTAATAATACTTCATGCTGAAAATTGTTGACAGGATAAAAAGAGGTAGTTAATGTAAATTGTTTTGGCAAGCGCCTAGATGTAGTAGGTATTCAAATGATTTCGCTAGTAATAATGGATGGAGTAGCAGCAGTGGTAACCATAGTATAAATTAAATGCAAAGACAGAGGCTTCTTTTATTAACTTAGTCACTATCCTCTGCAGACAAACTTCAGTGGAAAAGTCTGGGCTGTGAACTCTCATTCACAACTGCTGCTGGCTATAAGTGTAATATCTACCTTTCCCAATAAAACTCCAGTACTATTGTACAAATCTTTACGCTCCATGGAGCTTGTTATAATAGGATTGAACCTTTATTTATCTGTTCATTCCTCCATTTAAATATGAACGTAGAAGCTACAGTTTAAAGTTGCTTTTTTTTTTTGTAACCAAGCTTCACCTTTTAAAAAATTTTTTCATTGCTTTTATTTATTTATTTACATCTTTATTGGAGTATAATTGCTTTACCCCTCCAGGCGGTCACAAAGCTGATCTCCCTGTGCTATGCAGCTGCTTCCCACTAGCTATCTACCTTACGTTTGGTAGTGTATATATGTCCATGCCTCTCTCTCGCTTTGTCACAGCTTACCCTTTCCCCTCCCCATATCCTCAACTCCATTCTCTAGTAGGTCTGTGTCTTTATTCCTGTCTTACCCCTAGGTTCTTCATGACACTTTTTTTTCTTAAATTCCATATATATGTGTTAGCATACGGTATTTGTCTTTCTCTTTCTGACTTACTTCACTCTGTATGACAGACTCTAGGTCTATCCACCTCATTACAAATAGCTCAATTTCGTTTCTTTTTATGGCTGAGTAATATTCCATTGTATATATGTGCCACATCTTCTTTATCCATTCATCCGATGATGGGCACTTAGGTTGTTTCCATCTCCGGGCTATTGTAAATAGAGCTGCAATGAACATTTTGGTACATGACTCTTTTTGAATTATGGTTTTCTCAGGGTATATGCCCAGTAGTGGGATTGCTGGGTCATATGGTAGTTCTATTTGTAGTTTTTTAAGGAACCTCCATACTGTTCTCCATAGTGGCTGTACCAATTCACATTCCCACCAGCAGTGCAAGAGTGTTCCCTTTTCTCCACACCCTCTCCAGCATTTATTGTTTCTAGATTTTTTGATGATGGCCATTCTGACTGGTGTGAGATGATATCTCATTGTAGTTTTGATTTGCATTTCTCTAATGATTAATGATGTTGAGCATTCTTTCATGTGTTTGTTGGCAGTCTGTATATCTTCTTTGGAGAAATGTCTATTTAGGTCTTCTGCCCATTTTTGGATTGGGTTGTTTGTTTTTTTGTTATTGAGCTGCATGAGCTGCTTATAAATTTTGGAGATTAATCCTTTGTCAGTTGCTTCATTTGCAAATATTTTCTCCCATTCTGAGGGTTGTCTTTTGGTCTTGTTTATGGTTTCCTTTGCTGTGCAAAAGCTTTGAAGTTTCATTAGGTCCCATTTGTTTATTTTTGTTTTTATTTCCATTTCTCTAGGAGGTGGGTCAAAAAGGATCTTGCTGTGATTTATGTCATAGAGTGTTCTGCCTATGTTTTCCTCTAAGAGTTTGATAGTTTCTGGCCTTACATTTAGGTCTTTAATCCATTTTGAGCTTATTTTTGTGTATGGTATTAGGGAAAGTTGCTTTTATCCCAAACTTATAGTAACTATAGTTAGCACTCCATGGTTATTTTGTCAGAGACCATATTAAAAAGTCAGTTTTGTTTTTCAAAAAAGGCCAATGTTGGAGTTAAACTTCAAAACCATTGGACCAAATCAACTGCATAAAATACAAATTTAGTCTGATTTATAGAAACATCCATTTTCATGAGTTAATTGTAAACACTGTCACTAATACTAACAGCAGCAGTAATTTATTGGATTCTTTCTAAGTGCTGTGCTCAGTAATGGTTATGCATAGCTCATTTAACACTTATAACTACTCTGGGAAGTTGGTACTCCTCCTCCAGTGGGAGGACACAGTGAATAGGTCATACGTTTATTTAATTGAAGTCTTAGAAGGAAAGAAAAAGAATAGCACAGAGGTAATATCTGAAGGGATAAGAGCAAAGGATTTCTAGAAATGATAAAAAGCACCAGTTCACAGTTTCATGAAACCCCATAAATCCTAAGCAGGATAAAAAAAGAATCACATATCTAGATTCATCATAGTAAAAGTATAGAACACCAAAGACGGCCAGCCGGAGGAAAAACAGACTACTTTAAATAAAGCAACAAGCTAAACTAATAGCTGATTTCTTTTTTTTTTTTTTTTTGCGGTACGCGGGCCTCTCACTGCTGTGGCCTCTCCCGCTGCGGAGCACAGGCTCCGGACGCGCCGGCTCAGCGGCCATGGCTCACGGGCCCAGCCGCTCCGCGGCATGTGGGATCTTCCCGGACCCGGGGCACGAACCCGTGTCCCCTGCATCGGCAGGTGGTCTCTCAACCACTGCGCCACCAGGGAAGCCCAATAGCTGATTTCTTAATGACAACGATGGAAACCTGAAGACTCAATCTGAGTGCTTAATTCTGCCCACTGGTGTCAAGGAAGTTTCACATAAAACAACAAAGCCATGATGAGAAAAGGCAGTTTGGGCTAAGCTAAAGGCAGGTAATTTACAAAGTCTATGCCTCTGTGTTGCACGCTGACCAACTTTTGGTAGTTTAACATGGAAGTGTTCATATTTTACTCACGATCCTTTTCTAACTCGGTTTTCTCTTTTTTTTTATTATATATATATATATATATATATATATATATATATATATAAACATTTCACAAAAGCCTATGTGCCAGGTTTTTGGCTTTCCTTTTTTTTTTTTTTTTTTTTTGACTGTACTGCGTGGCCTGCAGGATCTTAGTTCCTCAACCAGGGATTGAACCCTGGCCCTCGGTGGAGTCCTAACCACTGGACCACCAGGGAATTCCAAGGCTTTTTGCTTTTAATCCCCAGAGTAATCCAATATGGCAAGATTATTCCCATTGCACATGTAAACAAACTAGGAGAGTGAGTGACTTGTCCAAAGTCAAAGCTTTTTACACGATGAACTCATCCCAGATCATTTACCGTGCTGCCTTTTTTCACTTCCTTTTCCCTTCTCTGCTTTTATCTTACACCTTCCAAGAATGTCATAGCATCTTTCTAAATGCCATTTTCTAAACGGCAACAGAGACAATATACTTCTAAAGTCAAAAGATAAGGATCTCAGCTGGCCCTACTCAAGTACTGAATAATCCTTGAATAAAAACATAGCAGCATGGGGCTTCCTTGGTGGCGCAGTGGTTGAGAGTCTGCCTGCCGATGCAGGGGACACGGGTTCGTGCCCCGGTCTGGGAAGATCCCACATGCCGTGGAGCGGCTGGGCCCATGAGCCATGGCCGCTGAGCCTGTGCATCCGGAGCCTGTGCTCCACAACGAGAGAGGCCACAACAGTGAGAGGCCCGCATACCACACAAAAAAAAAACCATAGCAGCAGAACTTTTGATAAGAAGGTTCTTTAAGAATCATTTAATAGAGGTGATGTTTTTATCCTTTCTCCAATGTCATCTGTCATCCAGAAAATATTGAAAACTTCCTCTGATGGAGTCACAACTCACTTCCTTCTGAGGCAGCTTACACCATCTTTATGTTGGTTGATGGATTATTCCGTATAATGCAAAGACTTCTCTACTGAGAGCCAGTAGCTCAACCTCTAATCTTCTCTTGCTCTGGAAACTAACAGTAGAGTGGTTACCTACTCACTCTGAAGGCCAGAGAATGTGGGATCAATTCAAGCTCTAGAATTTACTAGTTGTGAGACCTTGGGTAAGTTGCCTATCTTTTCAAAGCCTCAGTTCCCTTTTCTGTAAAACAGAGAAATAATAAGTGCCTATCCCACTGAGCTGTTGAGAGGCCTGCAGTAATCGTCACGTAAGTATTAGCTATTATTAGTACTATTAGTGGTTTTATCAATCTAGGGCAAATTACTTAGCTCAATTCCCTTGTCTATAAAAGAGGGAGTTGGTGAAATTGTTCTTAAGCCTTCCAGGTCCACTTTATCACATAATAAACTTAAATCTGTGTGTGATTAGCTTTTCCATCTATCCTCATTGGGTTGGTAGTTCTTAACCTGGAGCCCATGGATAGGCTTCATGGGGGTCCCTGAGCCCTTTGAAATGGAGTACAATTGCATATGAGTACTTATTTAAAGATAGGAGACAAAGCTTTCAGAATCCATAACTTAAAATAGATTTAAAACCACTGTCTTTAGGACTGTACAAATCAAATCTATTCGATCTTTGATATAACAGAACTTAATTTCTGTAAAGACTTGAATTTTTCCCAGGTTAGATATCCTAAAGTTCCTTCTATCAAATTTTTTATATTATATGGTTTCTCTTCTGAATGATCATATAAAGTTGACATCTTTCTTGAAATACGGTTCCAAAAGATGAGCACAGTATTCTTGGCATGATACATCCAATTAGTACAAGGGATAACTTCCTTGCTGTAAAGAAGCATTACTTCTATTAATAGTGCTTAAGGCACCGTTAGATTTGGACAGTTAGATCAACCTGCACAACCTTAGTGACCTAAGTCTTTCTTACTTGGTTCCCTACTAATATCATATACTTCTCTGTGCAGCTGTCCTTTTGGACATAAATACAGTTTATATTTACCCTTGATAAATTTCATCTTGTGAGATTTATTCAATCTGTCAAAAATTTCTCCAATCTGTCAAAAATTAATCTCAAATAATAAGATAATATAAATAAAATATATATGGATATACTCTGAATGGTAGGGAGAAAAATATATTACCACCTATTTTAACATATATTTTAAATCTGACTTACAACACAGATCTGACTTACAACTTCCTCTGATCTCATAAACTGTAATATTAAAAATAGTTTATTAAATTTCTATATTAAATTATTATTAAAATAGTTTATAAAAATAGGTTCCCTTAGTTTGAGGCTAATTTTTAGACCACAGCACATACACAAAATCAATTCAAAGAATCCTAACTATAACTTTCCTTAAATGTAGCTCACATGACTCTATACTAACAGTAGAGATGGACAAAAGCAGCACGAGGAAAGAAAGTTTACAGTACATTAAGGAGCAGTTCCTTCTCTCTTAATCATTGTTGATACACTGACCAACTGCCTTTTCCATGCCTTAGTGATCCCTCTATAAAAGGGAAATAACCAAATTTGTCTAAAGTGGGATATAAAAATTAATTTTTAGAGCCCACCCTCTTCAACAGCCTCCATGAATGGCAAAGGTCTTTTAAATCAGCATAATTTATCCTGTGATTCAACACAAACCAGTAAGGTTTACTCATGGGCTTTCCTGAGTCTTCCTGTGTTGGAATTTATAAGTACCTGCTAGGTGACCTTTTGCAGTCTGTACTCACCATCTATAATAGACATATTTCTAGATGTTGACATAGTGGCCTTTGAACTTCTGCCTCGAGTAGAAGTCTCCAGAGCAGCGCCTGCTGTTAGAATAATGAGCGGTCAGTATACAAGTCCATCAGTAGCTAAGGGTTTTTTTTGTTTTTTTAAAAAAACACCACTAAATAAAGTTATGTCAAAACATAGTTTATGTGTAAAATGTCAAAGATATATATAAGAAGAAACATCTAGAGTCTGATCAATCAATTTTCAGAGACTATTCTTAGGCCACACTTGGTTCATATTGTTCCAACTACAATGTAAGGAAAAAATTTATAAATGTAAGGATAATGAAAACAATTATCACTAGAAGATGGGGATTTCTCTCCTGGGAGATTTTTAACTAAAGTACTACCCATTTTAACAGCTTAAAATTCCGACAGATAAATATTTAATAAAAAAAATAATTTAAAACTATTCCTAGGGATGGATTTCTATAATGTATCAGGAAGTCACTGGATGACTATCTTCTATTATTTGGCCTATTCAATGACAATAGTATCACATTAGACACAATGATGGCAATTAATTTAATGATTGCTTTAAAAAATCAAATTGTGGGGCTTCCCTGGTGGTGCATTGGTTGGGAGTCCACCTGCCAGTGCGGGGGACACGGGTTCGTACCCTGGTCTGGGAGGATCCCACGTGCCGCGGAGCGGCTGGGCCCGTGAGCCATGGCCGCTGAGCCTGCGTGTCTGGAGCCTGTGCTCCGCAACGGGAGAGGCCACAACAGTGAGAGGCCTGCGTACCGCAAAAAAAAAAAAAAAAAAAATCTAATTGTGTAGGGGCAGTTTTCAAAAATAATAATTTTTATAATCTGGAGTTTTCTTCCTGCTGTTAGTGGGTATTAGCTAGACATTTTCCTTAAGTGTTTGCCTCACTATTACTTTGTACATGTGCGAGTAAACATGTCTATTAAATGTTCCCAATGTGTGAGAAGCACTATGAAATTCTTTAAAAAAAAACGTGTTAAGAACTATTCAAACTATATGTGTATGTGGCCATTCAGAATTTATTTACGTGAAATGTACATGTTGGAACTACATTAAAGACCGTTTTTATGCATTATAAAAATAAATTTTTAAAGGACTGTGTAACTCAATTCTGCCAAGATGAACACAATTCTGAATTTCCCACACAACTGCCAAGTGTGAATGTGTAAGAAAGACTGTACTCAGTGCTAACCTCTTCCTCTCTGAGATCCTCCTCTTGACGCTGGATTCTGCCCTCTTCCTCCTCTCCGGCCTCTTCCTCGGCCTCTTCCTTTGTTGGCTGCTGCTGTGATGCTGTCATCAGAATCATCAGCCATCTGTTCTGCCCTATCTATACTCATAAGGTCATCAGCACTAAAGGCAGAAGCAGCTTCCTCTGACTGAGATCTGAGGGCTCTGGCCCTACTCATGGCCTAAGAGGGATGACAAGAGGAAAATACACATCAGTAGACAATGCAGCAGCCTAAAAGTCATGAATCCAGTCACTCAGATGGACATTTCATATTGCCAAACTGTCTAAACTATTATTTTTCACTAATCATGCTAAAACATGTAAAACAGGAGAAGCTCTCTCCCCCATCAACCAAATTCAGTGCCTACGATTTGTTAGATCAATTTACAATACTACTGAAACCTGTAAAATGAGACCTTTTGAAAATGTGTATCAAGAACCATAAAATTTCACAGAATCAAAAGTTTCAGAACTGGGAGGAATGTTGGCAATCGCCCCTAACGCAACACCACCATTTGTAAGAGACTGTCATCATTTGAGCTACTTTGTACAATGGGCTCTTGATAAATAACAAGAAAAAAAACTGGAGGTCGGTGGGGAGCTGGAGGCTGCCGCAGGGGAGGTGCCGTGGGCAGCCGGGACACGTGGCTTGGCCGTAACCCCGTCTGGGGCCGGGTGGGACCGCAAGAGCCCATGGCCGAGCCAGCTCCGTTACCTCTGACTTTCAAGGATGTGGCCATTTATTTCTCTGAGGAAGAATGGCGGAATCTAGAGGCATGGCAGAAGGAGCTTTACAAGCAACTAATGAGAACCAATTATGAGATTCTTGTTTCTCTAGTGAAGAACCAATTAAAGTAACTGAATCTATAGAGAAAGAAAAATAATCTTGTGTCACGAACCCCGTGCCACCCAAAAAGAATGTTCCGAGCATCAAGATCACATGGATGTGGATTTCCCTGGTGGCGCAGTGGTTAAGATTCTGCCTGCCAGTGCAGAGAACACGGGTTCAAGCCCTGGTCCAGGAAGATCCCACATGCTGCAGAGCAACTAAGCCCATGAGCCACAACTATTGAAGCCCACACACCTAGAGCCTGTTCTCCCTAACAAGAGAAGCCACCGCAATGAGAAGCCTGCGCACAACAGTGAAGAGTAGCCCCTGCTCGATGCAACTAGAGAAAGTCCACATGCAGCAATGAAGACCCAACAAAAGGTCAAATGGATACGAAGTGGTGTATTAGTGTGGGTTTGGTTTGCATTTCCTTCGTGGCTAACCATGTTGAGCATCTTTTCATTTGTGTATCTTTTCAGAGAAAGTCTAATTCAAATACTTCGCCCATTTTTGAAGTGGGCTATTTGTCTTTTTATTGTTGGGTTATAAGTGTTCTCTATTTGTTCTGAATATTGAACCCTTATCAGATATATGATTTGCAGGTATTTTCTCTGTTTCTTGGGTTGTCTGTTCCCTTTTTGATGGTGCCCTTTGATGCACAAAAGTTTTTAAGTTTTGATGAATTCCAGTTTATTTTTTCTTTTGTTGCTTGAGCTTTTGGTGTCATATCTAAGAAGCCATTGCCTAATCCAGAGTCACAAAGATCCACTCCTATATTTTCTTCTAAGAGTTTTATGATTTTAGTGCATATATTTAGGTCTTTGATCCTTTTTTTTCCCTTCTTTGATCCATTTTGAGCTAATTTTTTTATACTGTGTGATATAGGGATTCAGCCTCTTTTGCATATGGATATCCAGTTGTCCCTACACCATTTGTTGAAAAGACTGTTCTTTCCCCCATTGAATTATCTTGGCAACCTTCTGGAAAACCAATTAACCATAAATGTCAGAGTTTATTTCTGGATTCTTGATACTGTTTCATAGATCTATCTGTCTAGCCTTAGCCCAGTACCACACTGTTTTAATTACCATTGCTTTAGGATCAGTTTGTCAATTTCTGCCAAAAAAAAAAAGAAAAGAAAAGAAAAGAAGGCAGATGGGGTTTGGGGATTACTGTCATCTAAACAGTACTAAGTCTTCCAATTAATGAACATGGGATATCATTTCATTTATTTAGTACTTTTTTTTAGGACTTTAAAAATTACTTTCAGCAACATTTTATGATTTTTATTGTGCAAGTCTTATGTTTCTTTTATTGGGTTTATTCCTAATTATTTTACTCTTTTTGATGTTCTTGTAAATGGACTTGTTTTCTTAATTTTTTTTTGGAAAATACTTTTATTTTAAAAGAGGCTGAGATTTCAACCCAGATGAAGACTGAGAATAGGTGTATGGATTTATTTTTTAATTAATTTTTGTTGGAGTATAGTTGCTTTACAATGTTGTGTTAGTTTCTGCTGTACAGCAAAGTGAATCAGTTATATGTATACATATATCCCCTCTTTTTTAGATTTCCTTCCCATTTAGGTCACCAAAGAGCATTGAGTAGAGCTCCCTGTGTTATACAGTAGGTTTTCATTAGTTATCCATTTTATATATAGTAGTGTATATATGTCAATGCTAATCTCTCAATTCATCTCACCCTCCCTTCCCCCCTTGGTATCCATATGTTTGTTCTCTACATCTATGTCTCTATTTCTGCTTTGCAAATAAGTTCACCTGTACCATTTTTCTAGATTCCACATATAAGTGATATTATATGATATTTGTTTTAGGTGTATGGATTTAAATAAAAGATAGTGATTCCTTTTTTCATGAAACTAAAAAAAAAAAAAGAAAAGAAAAAAGAAAAAAACTCACCAAAAATAGCTGCTATCTCTAGGTGATGAAATTTTAGGGTGCTTTTTGTTTTCTTCATTATTCTTGAATATTTCAAATTTGCTACAAGGTACATTTTCTAAAATATTACTTTTGTAATCAGAAAAACATAAGCAATAATCTCTTACAAATATATAGTAAAAAGAATTAGGTAGAACAAAACAATTGAAAGACTGGAAAATAATAAAAACCTGAGGGCCAAGATTTTAACTTAATAAATTTTAATTTGATAAGAAACTGTCTAGAAAAGACAAGTTTGAGACTTAATGAAATATCCTATGACAACAGTCTCTCTTGCTTGGAATGACTAGTTCTGGGTCTAAGAATAGGCATCTAGAGCTTTTCTAAGCTCTGTGTGGTACCATGAAATATGGAGAGACAGGGTTAAATGAGGAGATAAGCACAGAGCAGGCAGGGCAGAAGCAGGAGTGTAGCGGGTGGGGAGAGGTGGAGGTAACCCAGCTTCACGCTGATGAACTTGCTGAAGTGAAACAACAGCTAAGTCACTACGGGAACGGCTCAACATGGCATTACAACTCCAAAAGAACAAAACTTTAGGGAATACAACCAAAAAGATACAAATAAAAAATAGTTGAAAAAGATTTCAATTCATCTTTCTTGTCCCAGATGAAGTACAGTCAGTCCTCATAATTTTCAGACTCTGTATATGCAAATTCACCTACTTGCCAAAGTTTATTTCTAACTCCTGATGCGTCTGTGGTCATTCACGGACACGTGCAGAGAGGTGCAAATTCTCAATCGCCTGACACACACCTTCCCAGATGAGGTCGAACGAGGCGACACTCAGCCTTCTTTAAACGAGTATCCTTCTCACAGTACGTTTAGTGCCGTGTTCACAACTTTGTGCTTTCAGCTGGGGATTTTACTTTTAAAACGGCCCCCAGTGTTGTGCTGAAGCGCTGTCTAGGGTTCCTAAGTGCAAGAAGCTGTGATGTGCCTTATGGAGGAAACACATGTGTCATATACGCTTCATTAAGGCATGCACTGAATGGGCCACAAGTTCAACGCTAATGAATCAATGATATATATTGAGTAAGGTCTTAAAACAGAAACACACATGGAAAGGGTTATATATTAATCTGTTAACAAAAATGTTGTAACCAGTGGCTGGCAGGAACCTATTGCTGTATTTCCCCTAGGAGCAACAGTTCAGTGTTCACTCAGTGTTTACAGTGACTTTGTAGAACACAACCATCATGAATAACAAGAACTAGCTCTACATTAAAAATATATATATACAGGGACTTCCCTGGTGGCACAGCGGTTAAGAATCTGCCTGCCAATGCAGGGGACACGGGTTCGAGCCCTGGTCCGGGAATATCCCACATGCCGCGGAGCAACTAAGCTAGTGCGCCACAACTACTGAGCCTGCACTCTAGAGCCCATGAGCCACAACTACTGAGCTCATGTGCCACAACTACTGAAGCCTGTGCGCCTAGAGCCTGTGCTCTGCAACAAGAGAAGCCACCGCAATGAGAAGCCCGTGCACCACAAGGAAGAGTAGCCCCCACTCGCCGCAACTAGAGAAAGCCCGCACACAGCAACGAAGACCCAATGCAGCCAAAAATAAATAAATAAATTTATAAAATAAAATAAAAAATATATATATTTAAAAGAAAAAAGGAGACCTAAATTACATAATAAGGTAGATCTAGCTGATACATGTTGAACTCTGTATCTGAAAATAAACAATATACTTCTTTTCAAGACCCCATGAAATGTTTTAACTGATATATAATGGGATGCTAAGAAAAACATCAATCCTAAATAATAAAAAGAATATTATCATACTTTCTAATCACAATGCAATAAAATTAGAAATTAATAAGACAAAAGCCTGGACTCCAAACTGAAAAACAAAACAAAAACTGTAGAATACCTAGAAAATGATAATAAAAATACTGCATATCAGAATATATGAAACAATTTAAAAATGAATTGTTAAATTAAAGCAAAGAAAGGAGAATGGAGGGGAAAAAAGATCTAAGGAAAATTAAAAGAATTATGATAAAACACTTTGCTCAATTCTAAGTAATTTGGAAAATAAATGACCTAAACTGAATCAAAAAAAGATAGACAGTCTCAACAGACTAATTAACAACATTTTGAGAAAATTCTTAAAAGAACTACACTCCCAAAAAGGATCACAACCAGAAAGTTTCACAGGTAAATTCTACCAAATCTTCAAAGAACAGATGATTCCATGGCTATTTCAATAGAAACAGAGCATAAAGAAAGCAAGCTTTCAGCTGGTTTTTATAAAGCCAGCATAACATGGTACTGAAAACTGACAAAGGACTGCATGTACGAAAGGAAAATTACAGTATCTTACTCATGAATATCAAAGCAAACAAAAGGAATCCCGGGGCACATGGAAAGACCAGTACACCTATTATCAGGGGCTTCACAAAGTGATACTAAGGTTGGGTCAATAATAGGATAGAAAATAATATAATTCACCATATTAACAGAACACAGGAGGAAGAACCCTGCATGCTTATCTTCACAGATGCCAAAAAAGCTCTTAATTCATTACCCATTCTGGATTTAAACAAACAAACAAAAAACTCTCAGGAACAAGTGGAGACTTCTTTTATATAACGAAACGAGTGCTCTTATAAACCAATTAGAGAAAGACCAATGCCCTAGGCAAAAGAAAAAAATATTCTATGCAAAGAACATGATCAGGTGTTTCATATAACTTATAAACATAAAAATTGCTCAGACTCACTACTAATACAAGTAGTATGAGTTAAAAGCAACTATAAGAAATAATTTCTCACCACTTAGATTTGTAAAGATCAAAAGATGTAGTAATATGTCATGGCCGGAAGGATGCAGGGAAATAAGCACTCCCTAATACTATCGGTCGGGAGAGTAACTGGTGTAACATATTTGGAGTGATTTGGCAGAATCTAGCAAAATTTAAAACACACATGCCTTTTTATGATTATTACTTCTTTGAATGAATTATCATCATTGCCAAATTTCATACTTTGCCTTTGTCTAAATACTACATCTTCATTTTAGCATCTCAAACATTATACTCAGATAATACTTTATCTTTCTGTACAACAGACCGTGCACTTTACTGACATCTTTGAACTACATTACTTCTATGAATTTACCTCATGAGTGGAGGCACAGGGCCAACGGCAAGACAATGTTTCCACATACTTTTTGCGAGATTTAAAAATATACTACCCTAGTATTATTGCACTTTTTGGTAGTAATGTATACGTAACATAAAGATTTACCATTTTAACCATTTTTTTTTTTTTTTTTTTTTTACAGCTTGAATATTTATTGAATACTACTAAAATAGCTAAAATACATTGGGTACTTGTTGTGAGTGCATCAGTAAAGATCACATTGCTACAAAAGCCTGCATATTCAGCAGTACACAACTGCAACTCTACGGAAATGCCACAGATGCAGAATACTGTTTTCTTGCTCTATTTACACAGCGGATATACCTATTCTAACAAAGGAGGGAAGGGGGAAATGCACAGGAAACTCAGGCCAATGGGGGAGCGAGAAGAGAACGAAGAAGTGCAGCGCATGCGTCGGTTGATGTGTAACAGTCAGAAGCGGGACAGTCCAGAACAAAGCCTGCCCTGTCAAAGGAAGAGCTAAAAGACAGTTATATAAAAATTAAGGTGGGCTTTCAGACTGGCTAACACAACAACATTCCATGAGTGGATGGTATTGTCTGATTGTATTTTTGTTTATCCATTTCATTGGGAGCAAGGACAAAAATGTAAAATCTACACCTTGCTTATCAGAACTGCCGAAAAAGAGTGCTCTGCCTTTGAAAAAAAAAAAAAATTGTAAAAACATTTCTTTTCCAACCTAATTTTTGGGAAAGGTCTAATTTTCATGTTCCTACTGAAATGTCAGTTTTTTAGATTTTTTTCAGAGGGCATTTGTTAAAAAAAAAAGTTTGCCCTTTCTTCCCCCAATATTCTTTCAAATGAAAAGAACCAAAAGGGACACCTAAAAATGCCTGTCAAATTATTGCTTTTCGTTCTCTAAGTGAGGCAGGCGAGGCTATGGAAAGGAAGAGATTTGGTAAGGAAATTACAGTTTTGTGATTGCTCCTGCTACAGTGACTGCGTGTCCAGGAGTGCCAGCCCATGAGACATGGGTCCCTCCGGCTTTGTGGTGGCACTCACTCAACCTACAACGCTGAAGAAGAAAGCCACACTGAAGACACAAGGAGAACAAGTCAATCCAGTCTAGAGAACAACATTCGGGGAAACAGAGTACCAACACCTTCTTAGAACATGAAAATAAAAAATAACTCCATCAGAGCTACCTTGCCAAGGAGCATGTTGAAAGTCCAAAACAGCACCATTCATCAGTGTCTCAGGTCCTGTGGCAGCATCTCGGTCACTTACCACAAGGAAACAATGAGTTTCAAACTACTTCTATGCATCAAAAGAGTACATGGATAAAATACAGAGATATACAGACAATTGATGAACATAAACTACTAGGCTTGTTACATCTAAATGAAAAAAAAAAAAAGGGGGACTCTCAGCCTCTGCAAGAAGCAGTCGGGAGCTGTGTGAGTGAAAAGGCAGAAGTGGACCGGTTGTGTGAGAGCAGAGGGGGTTTGAGTTGTGGAAGACATCGTCGTAGCAAACCAGGCCTGAAGGCCCACCTGTAAGGGTTGTAAACGTGGATTCACAGTGTGAAATTCTGAGCGTTTTCACTTGAGTCAGAATGATTAAAAACTGGTTTGATGATACCTATTTGTCCACTGTAAATTCTCTAAAGCAAGGCTCAGAGTCCCATAGTTTCTTCTTATACTTGATGATTTACACAGAAAAAAATCCCATATATGGTACCATGACCTCATCAATACCCATACACCATGTGTAATACAAATGGAGGTGATTAAAAAGAGAGGAGGTAACTGATTCCCGGGGAGTGGAGCTCACTGCTGCCAAGTGGATGCAGGGAGGCAGCCTCGGTCTGGCCATCCTTCTTGCGACTCACTTGCTTTGGGACAGGAAGTCTTCCCTTAGGAAGCCTTCCCTCCATTTCCTTGTTTGGAAATGGTTCTTGACTGACCCAGACAGAAAGCTCTGGGTAATACACCATTCTGAGAATCCTTAACAGTCTTGGCCTTGCACCCTCCCTCTCTTCAGTCCAAGGAGACCAACCAACAGACAAAAGCCCCGCTCCCTGTTCACTCTCTCCTCTCTACACCTGAAACACCCATTTTAACCATTTTTAAGTGTGTATTTCAGTGGCATTAAGTACATTCACATTGTTGTACAACCACTGCCATCATCCATTGCCACAACTTTTTCATAATCCCAAACTGAAACTCCATACCCATTAAATAAACCTTCATTCCCTAACCACCACCCCAAACCCCGATAATCACTCTTCTACTTCCTGTCTGTACGAATCTGACTACTCTAGGTATCTCACGTAAGTGGAATCACATAGTATTTGTTCTTTTATGTCTGACTTACTTCACTTAGTATAATGGTTTGAAGGTTTATCCATGATATAGTATGTACCATTCTATACTTCAATTTCATTCCTTTTAAGGCTAAAGAATATTCCAATGGATGTATGTATTACATCTTGTTTACCCATTCATCTTTTGATAGACTTTGGATCATTACTACCTGTGGGCTATTGTAAATAATGTTATGAACACTGGTGTACAAATACATGTTCGAGTCCCTGCTTTCAATTTTTTTTGGTAAATACACAGAAGTGCAATCACTAGATCATATGGCAATTCAATGTTTAAATTTTATATTGTTTTATAATAGCAGTTGGGAATTATTTTCATTAAAAAGAGCTCTTCGGGCTACTATTCCTGCGCCTCCCCTCCATGCCTGCACCCACCACATACACACATGCGCAATTAAGTAAGTTTTCGACAAGAGCAAAAGGAAAAAAAAAAGAGAATATCAGCAAGCTGAATACTCGTAGGCCGAATTGGAGTAAGTCAAAGGCAGCTGTCCTCAGCCAACCCCTGCTCAGTCCTACCCACCCAACAGAGATCCTGTGGACTGACTACTCTAAATTAACCTACTAGTTATTCTGATTTAACAAGCTGACATATAACAAAGGAATTTTCCGAAAAATTACCTCTCGAACTTCATCATCTTCTTCATTCTTCTGTCTGCTTTCTCTGAAACGACGTACCTGGATTGTAACAGAATAAATCACAAAAATGTTACAAACATGTCTGTCATGTAAATATAAAACTGATTAACTGATGTTTTCCATTACAACATAAAATTCGGAAATTCAAGTATAGTTTTGTTTCACAAAAGATTAAAGAAGTCATATTCCCCCAGTGACTTACATTAAAAATTCAGAAATGTACTCTAAGAAAAATTGGCCCTAAGCAAAATGATATTACCTGCTGACCAAATGCTCCAAGCCATTGAAAAACAGCCTGTCGGACTGCAAAGGAAAAAATTCTAATGTCCTATGGGTGTTATAGTTCAGTAAAAGAGCTAAAAACAAAAAACTCTCTTTTAATAGGTTTGAATTATTACACTGCTCAAATCATTCTTGGGCACCTGGCTGCAAGTCATCCAGGAGGCTCTCTGAAATGGTGTCTGAAGTGGGTGGGCCCCTGAAGATCCATTTTGCTAACAGTCAACCACCAAATGTTTGCTGTCTGCCAACCCTGGTCCTGGTGCCATGAAGGATACAAAGCTTCCTTTTTTACTGGTTCCTGCTCACAAAGCTCTTATAATATAGTTATATAGCTAGAAATAAACTCCATTTATTTAATAATTTACTCGGCACATATTTACTGAGCCAAGCTATGTGCCAGGTGCTATTGTAGGAACTGAGAATAATGAACAAAATGGTCAAGAATTCTGCCCTCCATGGAGCTTACAATCAGTGTGTGCATGTGTGTGTGTGTGTGTGTGTGTTACAAAATACGAAACAAAATAAAAGGTTACGTTGTATGTTAGAAAGTGTATAGGATCAAGTTAATTTACAGCTAGACTGAGAAAGCTCCATCCTTACCTGAGGAGCCTCTGGCATTCCCAGGGCCAAATTATTTACTGATGGATTTCAACCTGCATGAGCACTTAGACAGTGTGCTTTGATTATGCGACCAGAGAGGCATAAAAGACACCCTGGAAACTTCTGCACAGATCTTGGTGTTCTGTCCCGGGTTTGCTGTGTGCATATAAGGACATGAGAAACAGACGCCTGGTATCTCTCAGATCCCTAATGCCTGCCTATACTCCTTCTCTTGCTGTACCATTATCAGTTGCCTTTAAATAAAAACTTTGAGTATGTTCAGTGGAGTCTTATGAGTCCTTTCAAATATGTGAACCTGTGAAATCTTTGCAAAAGGTGTTAAGTGCTCAGAGAAAAGTAATGCAGGAGGAGGGACAGAGAGTGCTGAGGAGAGGCTACAGCACGACCATCAAAGGCCTCACGGAGAAAGTAGCAAAGCAAGAAGGTAGCAAAGATTTTAAAAGGTAGGGAATGAACCTTGAAAATAACTGGGGAAAATCATTCCAGTCAAAGGAAAGAATATATGCAAAGGCACCAGGGCAGAAGCATGGTATGTTTAAGAAACAGCAAGGAGGTCGCTGGGCTGGAGCAGACATGAGGATGAAGTAACAGAAACCACACTGAGTAAGGCCTTGGGAACAACTATAAGGACTTTTGTTTTTATACAGCAGTGACTTCATCTAAACTATGTTAGGATCACCAACAGCTCAGCTGAGCTGAGGACAGAACAGAGTGTGGAGGAAAAGCACAGGCAGAAACAGGGAGACCAGTTTGGAGGCAACAGGAGTAATCTAGGTGAGAAATGGCCAGGCCCTGGACCACTGATAGAGATGAAGGTGGTGAAAAATAGTCACATTCTGTATATATTCTGAAGGTAGAGTTAAAGGATTTCCAGACAGGATATAGGTGACAGAAAAAAGAGGAGTCAAGGATAACTTCAAGGTTTACCACTTGAGCAAATGAAAGAATAGTGCTTCCACTAGAACCCTACAGGTAGAGCAGGGGCTAAGGTTCAGCAATTCAGACTGGGAATGCTGGAAGTTGGAGAGGTCTATTAAACATCCGAGTGGAAGGTCTAGCAGGTTGTTGGCTACATAAGTCTTGAGTTGAGAGAAGAGGTTTGGGCTAGACTTTTGAAAAAAGTCATCACCAGATGACAGTATTTAAAGCCAGGAAGCTGGGTGAGAATACAAAAGGAATATGTAGATGAAGAAGGGGTCCAAGGACTGAGTTCTCGAGACTCCAACGTAAAGAGGCTGGAGAGGTGAGAGGAATCAACAGAGACTGAGAATACACAGACAACGAGCTGGGAAGAAAACCAGAAGTGTGGAGCCCTAAAATCCAACGGAAAAAAGGTTTTAAGAAGAGGTCAAGTGAGATTTAAGATGGAGAACGGACAATGGATTTAGCCCTGGAGGTCACTGGTGCTTTGACAAGAGTAAATTCACTGGAAAGAGGGGGTCGAAACCCCTGAATAGATGGATTTAAGAGAAAAATGAAGGCGAAGAATCTGGGCAGCAAATACAGAAAACTCTGTGAAGCAATTCTGCTATAAAAGAGGAAAAAAGAAATAGAATAACAGCGAAAGGGAAATGGGATCTAGGCTCCAGAGTTTTGTTGAAAGAAATAGCAGCATGTTTGTTAAGATTCAGTAGAAGGGGAAGAATACAGGAATAATATTTTTTTAAAAGACGGCACAGCATTTAACAGTGCTCGAGGTGGCATGTGATATATCAAAAGCACTGAGTCATGGGCTTCCCTGGTGGCGCAGTGCTTGGGAGTCCGCCTGCCGTTGCAGGAGACGCGGGTTCGTGCCCCGTTTCGGGAGGATCCCACATGCCGCGGAGCGGCTGGGCCCGTGAGCCATGGCCGCTGAGCCTGCGCGTCCGGAGCCTGTGCTCCGCAAATTTGCAGTTTATACCTCAGTCATCTTCAGTTACTGGTTAAAAAAAAAAAAAAAAAAAAAAGCACTGAGTCATTCACAGAAGAGAAATGAGCATCAGAGTAAAAACACCGAGCAGGCATTATGTGCCAGTGTACTGAGGGCTTACATATATTCTTTTAATCCTCACAACCTTGAATGAGGTTCTATTATCCCCATTTCATAGATGAGGAAACTGAGGCGCAGAGAGGTTAAATACTTCACTGACGGTTCCATAGCGAGTAAGGTCATCTGGTCTATAGTCCATACTCTTAGCCACCATGCTACACACACACACACCCCCACACCCCCACACACACTCTCTCTCTCTCTCTCTCTCTCTCAAGTCATGATGTCACTCCAGGTGTGGATGATCATTTTGGGGAGTGGAGGGTGGGAAGGAGGGTTTGTTTGTTTTATTTATTTACTTTTTTAGAGCAGCTTGGGTTCACAGCAAAATTAAAAGGAAGGCACAGAGATTTCCCATATAGCCCTGTCCCATACATGCACAGCCTCCCCTATTAATATCAACATCCCCCACCAGAACTGTACAGTTGTTATAATTGATGAACCAATACCGACACTCCATACTCCATATCACCTAAACTCTTTAAGGTTCACTCTTGGTGGTGTACATTCTATGAGTTTGGACAAATGTATAATGACATGTATACATGTATAACCCACCATTACAGTTTGATACAGAGTAGTTTTACTGTTCTAAAAATCCTCTGTGAATCCACCTTTTCATCCCCTTATCCCATCCCTGCCCAACCACTGACAACCACTGATTTTTGTACTATGTCCATAGTTTTACCTTTTCTAGAATGTTACATAGCAGGAATCATACATTAAGTTACTTTTTCAGATTGGCTTCTTTCAGTTGGCAATAGTCACTTAAGGTTCCTCCGTGTCTTTTAATGGCTTGATAGGTCATTTCTTTTTAGCACAGAATAATATTCCCTTGTCCAGATGTTTCACAGTTTATTCATTTACCTACTGAAGTACATCTTTGTTGCTTCCAAGTTTTGGCAATTATGAATAAAGCTGCTATAAATATCATGTGCAGGTTTTTGTTTAGACATAAGTTGGGTAGATACCTAGGAGCACGACTGCTGGAGAGTATGGGAAGAGTACGTTTACTTTTATAAGAAACTGACAAACTGCCTTTCAAAGTGACTGCACCATTTTGCATTCCCACTCGCAATCTAAGAGTTCCTGCCGCAGCACATCCTCACCAGCATGTGGTGTTGTCGGTGTTCTGGAGTTTGGCTGTTCTGACAGGTGTGTAGTGGCATATCTCGTTGTTTTAATTTGCATTTCCCTAATGACATAAGATGTCGAACATCTTTTCATATGCTTACTTGCCAACTGACTTCCTTGGTCTGGTAAGGTCTTTTGCCCATTTTTAAAATGGATTATTAAATTTTCTTATTGTTGAATTTTAAGAGTTTTTGTATATTTTAGATAATAATCCCTCATCAAATTTGTCTTTTGCAACTGTCTTCTCCCAGTCTGTGGCATGTCTTCTCATTCTCTTCACGTTATCTTTTGCAGAGCAAAAGTTTTTAATTTCAATGTAGTCTAGTTTATCAATTACTTGTTTCATGAATCCTGCTTTTGATGTTGAATCTAAAAAGTCATCACCATATACAAGGTCATCTAGGTTTTCTCCTATGTTAGCTCCTAGGAGTTTTAGTTTTGCATTTTACATTTAGGGGGAATGCTCATGTTATATTTATGGCACTTGACTGACAAATCCACCCATGCTAAAAATTTATGAACCTAACACATCCAGAGCCACAGAGTAAGTAGTTTTAGAGTGTGGATTATCTGCCTTCCCTGTCAAAGTACCTGGCATTTAATATTACTGGTTGTACATTAGTTGACACCATAAGGCTTTAAAAGAATCACGTTAAATGACTAAAAGCACAAAAATAAAAGTAAAAGGGAATGAGTTTTAAAAATAACATTGTGTTCTTCTGCTCAGAGGGAATTTGGAAAATACAGGAAATGATCCCCTATAATCCCACTACCTGAGCATAACCACTGCTAATGTTTGGAATACCTTCTTCCATTCTTTGCATACACACACCCACATATAAAATAAAAATAACTGGGATCACATTGTGTATAGTTTTACCACTTTGGAATTCTTTTCCCACTTAACACTGAAAATACTTTTCCATGTTCTTCAAAAGTGTAATTTTTAATAGCTGCATAGTATTCCATACTGTGTATGTGCCAATATTTATTTTACCAAAACATTTCCAACTTTTCCCTACTGCAGATAACACTGACATAAATTACTCCCCATTCTAAATCTCTATCTCATTACTGTCTTAGGAAGATCTCCCAGGGCTGAGTTAAAGGACAAATCTTAAGCTTCTTGACATGCTTAAGAAGGCAAAAATGCTTTTCACTGCAGCTGTTCAAACTCTGATACTCCTACCAGCAGAGTACTAAGTACCTTTCTCAAATTGTTGCCACTTTGATAGATAAAAAATACATTTAATTTGAGCTTCTTTGATTATCCTAGGTTAAATACCAGTTTCAAATGCCTATTAGCCATTTATATTTCTTTTGTGAACCACCTATTCAGGTCCTCTGTTCATTATTCTATTGAAATGTTTAATATTCTTCTTAAGATTCATAAGAGCCCTTTAATGTAGTAAGAATATTAACCTTCTGTTCTGCCCACATACGAATATTTTCTCCATGTCGATACCTTCTCATTTTGTTTTTTGACAATTTAACATGCAAACATTTAAAAATTTTTTGTAGTCAAATCTAAAGAGCTTTTCCTCTGCTTTTATGCTTAGAGGGACTGCATTTCCTAGGTGAAATTCAAAATCTCAATCAAAACTTAATAAAAAATTGAGATAAGCAGACATTTTCACCCTATGAGGTTCATTTTAAAGCACTTTCATGATCTTCAAGAGAAGATACTAGCTATGGGCAACAAAACTAACATTCACTGGGTATCAATCATATTTGAGACTGTGTTCTAGATACTTATTAGACATTTTCTAATTTAATCCTCACTTTATGATCTCAATTTTATAGATGAGGAAACTAAACAAATCAGTGAAGTTAGTGATTTACCAGAAAGAAACTTAGAGCTACTCTTAAGGAGAGACTATCTAAATAACAGATTTCCCACCCCAAACTGGTTACTCACCTCTTCATCGATTTTATCTTCTAGGGCATCAGTATGACGTTCTTTAAGAAATCGCTGTGTTTTTTCCAACTGATATTTCACTAATTCCTCTATGGCATCTTTTTCTTCCTTGTCCACAAATTCTTGTACAGCTTCACCCATTCCCCTTTCTGTTAGAAGTGAGAGCTGCACGTTCTGTAAGAGACATAAAACACTAGATGCAGTATCTTCCTTACAAAACAATTCTGTATAAGCAAGGAAAATTACAGAATAATTTTACCACAGAAAAAGACAAAAAAGTCATCTAGCTATTGGAGGGAAAACACAGGAAAGCAAAATAAATCAATGGACGGTAATTAAGCCTACTGATAAATATTAAGGGCCAGAAAAAGTAGAGTACAGGACTTGTGAAACTGCAGAGCCCTGAGAGGCTGGGACACAGAGTCCAGAAATAGCAGCTGATGACTAAGAGAGCAGGTTAACCAGTGTGGTAGGCAGAAGAATGGACCCTAAAGATGTCCACATCCTAATCTCTGGGACCTATGAATATGTTACATGGCAAAGGAGAATTAAGGTTACAGTTGGAATTAAGGTTGCTAAGCAGCTGCTACAAAACTGGGAGATTATCAGGGACTATCCAGGTGGGCCCAGTGTAATCACAAGCATCCTTGAAAATAGAAGAGGGAGGCCGAAGAAGGGAGTCACAGAGAAGTATCCAGGGAAATGACGGCCAGACAGATCCGGCGTTGCTTGCTTTGAAGATGGAAGAAGGGGGCCCAGAGCCAAGAAACACGGGTACGTCCAGAAGCTGGAGAAGATGAGGAAATGGAATCTTCCCTACAGCTTCCAGAAAGGAACACAGCCTTGACAACACCTCAGTTTTTGTCCAGTGAGACCAGTGTCCGGTTTCTGACCTACAAAACTGTAAGGTAATAAACCTGTGTTGTTTTAAACCACTAAGTTTGTGGACATTTATTCCAGCAGCTATAGGAAGCTAATACAACCAGAGGATCTCAAAGTGGCATATACCCACAAAAATAAGAGTAGCTTCACCATCCAGTGGCTTATTAATAAAGTAACTCTGAAATTACATCCGGATGCAAGAAAATTAAATCCTGGATTCAGACTTAGGTAGTAGCGATAAAAAGAAAGAGGATAACAACACTGACAATAATAGAACAATAATAACAATATTAATGACTGACATTAATTAAGCACTTATTTTTCTTGATACATAATAACTATAAATGAATGTAATTGTCACCCTGCTTACTTCATGGAGACATTCTGAGGATTCATTTTGTTTAAACTATCAATTACACATATCTAAAATTAAAATCTGTTATTATAAGATAGCCATTATCTAAACTGAGAACTGTAACTAAGAAATTACCTTCTCTGCGGTTTGAAAATACTGTTTCACAAGGTCTTCTACCCTTAGAGTTGTTACTTCTGAAGGTTTTGTGATGAACTTCCCAAAGTTGATCTCTTCTCCTAGAAAAAAGAAGTCCATGAAAAAAAAAAAAAGTAGCAGTTTCTCTTTTAAAGTTAAAGTGCCCAAACTCACTGAAGATTGCTGTCAGTGAAGGAGGTATGGCCAAACTTTATCAACTGTCAGTTTGCTCAACCCAGTAAATTTTGAGGCAAAAACATGTCATTTTTGCTAATATCTAGAGTCATTTCCCCAAAGTCTGTATTTCTTTTCCAAATCTCCAAGTAGTATGTCTCTTGGAGCTATTCTCACAGAGTGGTCCACAGATCTCTGGGAGTCCCCCATACTGGTTCAGGGGGCTTAAGGTCAAACGTACTTTCATAATAATACTAAGACGTTATTTATCTCTCCCACCGTATTGACATTTGCACCGATGATACAAAAGCAGTCGTGGGTAAAACTGCCGGTTCCTTGAGATGAGTCAAGGCAGTGTCTCTGAGTTCTACTGAGAGTCATCACTTTGTACTCACAACAAGACAAAACAAAAAGCCAGTTTCACATAAGAATGTCCTTGATGAAACAGCAAAAATTATTAATTTAATTAAATCTTGGCCATTAAACACAAATCTTTTTAATATTCTGTGAGACAAATGGCAAGTAGGTTTAAAGCACATTTGCTTCATTCCTAGGCAGGATGGTTGTCTCAAAAAACAGCAGGTACAGAATAAATAGAATACTGGGCAAGAAGTCAAAAAGCATAGGGTCCAGTAGGTGCTCTGCTCATAACCTTTGTCAGGGAAATGAATGTTAACTGTCTAGCACGTGTGTGACCTGGTGTGGAAAACACAATGATAAAATGACAGGATGCCGCCCATAATAGCAAATGATTACAATACAAGATGGTAAGTGCTACAACAGAGGTAAGAAAAGAAAATATGACACACAGAGAAGAAATAAATTAATTCTTCTCAAAGAAGGCTGAAAATAACATGCAGATAGCAAACGCAGTTATCATTTGACTCAAGACTTGCACTGCAACTAAGAAGTTCGCATGCCGCAACTGAAGATCCTGCATGCTGCAACAAAGACTCCGCATGCCATGACTAAGACCTGGCACAGCCAAAAATAAAAACAAATAAATTGAAAAAACAAAAAAGAAAAAGACTTGCAGAATGAGTAAGACTTAGTAAGCAAAAAAGGAAAAAGAAAAAGTATTTTAGGCAGAGGGAAAAGTTTATGCAATGGCTTAGGGGGTAAAGAGGCACAAAGTTCAGTGTGCCTCTTACAAAGTGGTGAGGACAAGTGAATAGAAATCTTTTTTGAATTTCAAGACAGGAGAATTAATATTGCTTCATAAATATGATTACTATATTTTACTACGCCAGACACTATGTTAAGACCATTTACACACAGTATATCATCTAATCCTCACAACAGTCCTGTGAGGCAGGTACAGTTATTATCCTGATTTTGTAGACAAGAAAACAAAACATCAGAGATTAAGTAATTTGCATGATGTCACACATGTAGTTAAAGTAGCAGAGCTGGCCAAAACAACAAACAATTTCATGCTTTCAATAAGATATACAAAAGGGTCACTGCTTCCATTCAGCAATTAATGTTTAAACAAAAAAGGGATCATGAGAACAAAACTGACAATGGATGAAACTCAAGTAACATAAGGTACTAGGTTCTATACTCCACATTCTCACAAATGCTACACCCAAAAAATTCAAGGAATTGATAAGGATGGACAATTAAAGTAAATCACCATCAGTAAGTAACTAGCTAAAATTCATGGCATAAAAATATCATTCTCTGATATGGATTTTCCCCCCCTAAAACAGTATTCTATGAGATCCATTTAAATATCCAAATGACTGTTTCAGGCTGAATTAACAGCACACACCATTGTGATCACAATTTCACTATGAAAAACAGAAGCTCATTAAATCGGGGTTAATAAAAATCAAGGTAGTGTACATGTAAACAAGGGCCATATTTTTCTATGAAAATTCTGACTTGATAGTTCTAAGGAGATGAGCCTCTGTATTTAAAAGGACCAATACCTCTTAAGAAGAAGCACTCTTTCAGTCAGATGACCTGTTTTTGACAAATGCTAAAATAAGGGCAATTCATTTTTATGAACTTTAATTGGAAATTAATGATCTGATCAACAGAAACATCAAACTTAAGCCCTTAAATACATATCTTTTTAACATTCTGGGACACCTCTTATTTCAAAAGACTGGAGTCTTCTTAAATCACTGTACACTGTAAAGTTGAAATATTTAGCCCTGCAAAATTTGAGAGTATGTTCTCTGAACATTAATAATGTATAGTAAATAGTAGATATTTAAACACTTTATCTCTAAAGTGTGTTGTTAATCAGCAGCACGTTTTAAAAAAACTATGAAAGGCTTCTTTATTGATATCCACAAGTTTACAAAAGATTGCTATCTAATTTTTAGAAGAGATTTAATTATTCCAACTATCAGTTTCTTTGTCTGAGATATTATAAAGAATCACAATAAAACATTTTCCATTATTGTTTTATACTTTTACTAGAGATTGATTTATGTGAAGCCTATAAGAGCATTTTTTAATTTGTAAAGATAACTAGCTTACCCGTGTCTTCCTTTTGTTCTCTACGCCTGAAAAAATGGATAACATCTTTTGGATTAGCTACCCGGTCCACAAATTTCTGGCTAAAGCGAAGAACACTGAACGGTTCAAAGCCTCCACTATAGTCCACCTGGAAATACAGAATAAGCTATGAAGGCTAGGAAAAAACAGATCACCAATTTCAGTATTCATGTTTATGTGTAATACTTTTAAGTTAATATGTTAATGTTCCACAGTTCATTTTAAAGATCATGATGATGTTATACCATTTATTCTACTGAGAAAATAAAACTTCAAAGGTTTACGCTTAGGCAGAACATTGTTTGATGGAATCAAGATACAGTAAGAATTCCCACAATGTCAGAAAATTACATCTCCCCATGATAAAACTAGCAGTCTAGGTACCAGGAATATCATCTGAAAAGGATGTGAAATTTCTAAACAAATTTTTTTAAACTTAAAACAGAAGGAGATTCTCTACCAAAACAAAATGCTGGCCCTAGATGCATTTGTTAATTGGTCTATCATGTAGGGATAAGCTTTTACACTAGACAAAAATAAATGCTGGGAAAATCCATGGAAGAAAAGAAGCTAGTCTGTGAGCTTTGAGAAATGATCACCTTCCTTCAAAACACAGTACGGTCATCCCTCGGTATTCATGGGGGATTGGTTCCAGGATCCCTAAGAACACCAAAATTTGTGGATGCTCAAGTCCCTTATATAAAATGGCGGAGTTCAATCAGCCCTCCATATCCGTGGATGCAGAAGTGCAGGTACAGAGGGCCAACTGTTTCAATTTATAAAAGAACTAATAATTGCTCTCAAGGCAGGCTCTTTCTAAAGAAGTCTACAGTGGTACCAAGCTCTTTACAAAGAAAAATACTACATCTCTTTCTAAGAGATATAATTGTTCTCCTCAACTAGCTGTTCTCAAAGTATGCTCTGGGAATCAGCATTGTACCACATCACCAGCCTTTCCAGATTACTCCTAACCTCCACCCCACTTACACTCTTCATCACACTTAGCACTAGCTCAGAGTTTGTTCATGTATTCACTATTTGTTTATTGTCTCTCCTCACACCTCCACCTCCTGTAACCCTCGTCTATTTCACCATCACTGTGGCCCTCCTCCCCATCCACCAGCATGCAGAAAGAAGGTACTCAACATACATTTGTTCACTGCATTAGTGAATCAGTAAACGTCCTCTAGCCAACACAATGTACTTCTGGAATACTACTTACGTGAAAATATTTGTTCTTTTGTTTCCTTAATGAATTAATAATTTAGTGTGTTTAGAAAAAGGAATGCCAATTTTCAATTCAAGTCTGGTTGGTTCTAATGGTATCAGGCAGACATAGATGAGGAACATGGGACCTTCTGCCCTGATAAAGAGAACTATGTGGTTCCCCCGAAGCAACTATGTTTCTGTTACCCAGACCATCTCTACAGCTGCTGCCATGTTCTAAAACAGAAAATGCCAAATGCTCAAGCTATTGGGCCTCCCCAAAACTCTTCAGACATTTTTAACAACTATACTCCAGCCTAGTTTTATTTGTAATTTTCTGCTCCTAAAAGTCGCAAAACTCGTTCACTAAGCAAACTTTACTGAGTGTCCACAATGTGTAGGCACTCTTTTAAGGGCCTGGGGTACCACCATAAGTAAAACAGCAGCTTGGTTGTGAAGAAATTCACAAGCTGACTGGGAAGATAAACTATGTAAAGAAGTAATTGCAAGCAGAATGTGATGGTGCTGTAAGAGTATGTACACCGTGCAGTGCAGCCAAAAAAAAAAACTTAAAAAAAAATTTAATAAAACATTATTACATATATACGTATATATAACATTTTATTACATCTTCTGATAGTGAGATGTAATAAAGCCATTCTCTTTCTTGGCAAAATAAAAAAAAAAAAAAAAAAGAAGTATGTAGAAAGTAGACCGAGGACACAAAGGAAGAAGCAACGACTCTGAAGGGAAGTCAAGAAAGGCTTCTTTTGGGGGCTTCCCTGGTGGCACAGTGGTTGAGAGTCTGCCTGCCGATGCAGGGGACACGGGTTCGTGCCCTGGTCCGGGAAGATCCCACATGCCGCGGAGCAGCTAGGCCCGTGAGCCATGGCCGCTGAGCCTGCGCGTCCAGAGCCTGTGCTCCGCAACGGGAGAGGCCACAACAGTGAGAGCCCCACGTACCGCAAAAAAAAAAAAAAAATTTGCGAGTTGTCATTCTATAGGTGACCATATGGCTAGACTGAACAGAGGGCTAACTGAAAGACAGGAAGGGACAAACATCATTTGTAGTAGAGAATGCCGAAGAGTGATTCAGTAAAATGACAAAAATCTACTGGATTTGACAGCTGAAGGTCATCTTTTCCACCTTAGATGGTGGTGTCAGAGCCTTGATTATAGTAGATTGAGGAAGAGAATATTACATGAGCAATATAGACAATGTATTTTTTTGAAAGAAAATCAGAAAGGGCAGAAGCTAGGAGAAGGGAAAGGCAGAGGGGCAAAAAAAAAAGTCTGTTGTTATTTGTTTGTTTGTAAGCAGGCTTATAGGCACAGGAAACACTTCAATTTCTTAGACTTTTCTAATAGTGTCAAATACTTATCAATTCTTTCCACATATTTATCAAGCACTTGTTATGTGTCAGGAACTGTTCTGGGATCTTTGGATATATTAGTTAAGAAGATTCACAAAGTTCCATGCTTCTACAGAGCTGATAGTTTTGTAACTGAGGACAAACAATAACCAAAATAAATAAATTGGGTGTAGTAGGTTAGGAGGATGTGCTGTGGGAAAAAAAGAAAAGAAAAAGTAGAGAAGAGAAGTGAAATCAGGAGTGTTGGAGAGTGGGTATGGGGGTTGCAATCTTAATTAGGCTGGGGCCCACTGAGGTGACATCTGAACAGATCTGGAGGAGGTGAGAGCATGTCTGATGCATCTGAGGAATTACAAGAAGGCCAAGTGTCTGGAAGGGAGGGAGAGAAGGGAACAGTAAACGATGAAGTCAGAGAGCACAGCCAACGTATCAAATACAATAGACTACTTAGAAAATGAGAAAAATAGAGAAAAAAAACCCCAAACCTATCAAAATGAAACTATGATTAAATCAAATCCTGGCTGCTTTATTATTTTTTCCACCAATGATGACTTCTCTTTTTTACTATACGTACTCTCTTTGGTACTTTTCCAAAAAACTCCATGTAAACTGTACAATACTCTCCTCTGAAAATCAATAAAGTTGAATTTATCTAAAGAGGACTTACTCGCAGTCGTATAAGAGGCTTCTCTGGCTGTCGAGAATTTCCCAGACGTTCCCGTTCTGCATTTTCAAGCATTTCTTCAATCTCAAAATAAAGATATTGTCATGTCTAGGGGGAAGAGGTACTACCGGCTGGCATCTAGTGGTTGAGGTCAGAGAGGACTTGTAAAAATCCTACCATGCACAGAACAAGCTTCCACAACAAAGTGTTACCCAGTAAAATGACAATTGTGCCAAGATTGAGAGACCCCGGGCTCCCTGACTAGGCCAAGACAATCCATTCATTTTCCATCTCCCTGGCCTCAGAGATTGGGTTCAGGGACAAGTACATGACCTCAGTCCAGGGAAACTCAATGCTAAGGGTTTCTTTGGAACTACTGGGAAAAAAGGATTCTTTCAGCTGTAAGGACAATGTAAGTCTGTGGACCACCACGTGAAAATGCCCTCCTTATAGCGAAGCTTAAGACAGAAACCATTAGACTGGGTGGCACAGAACTAGACACAGAAACAGAGAAAACTACAGTCTTAATTTGAGTTTCTAGATCTAGTCATTCTGAAACCAGCAAACTCTTAAACTTTCCAGTTATATGAGTTACATGTTGCTAGTAAGCTGTGACACTGGGCGAGTTACTTTATCTAAGGTTCAGCTCCTCTTTCTATAAAACGTGTATGGTAGACTCTACCTACCTATAGCATCATTCAGTGGATTAAATGCAAAATGCTGTCAACAGTGTCCAGAATATATACGCCGCCAATGAATATCAGTGATCATTATCATTATCATGATTTTTATAAGAATAAAACGCAAAGCAGAAGAGCCTACACAGCATAAGAACTGAATAAGTGTCAGTAATTAATGTTATTAAGCTGTCCAGTTCCATATTATTAAATGCATTCACCCAACTTCATAGTGGCTCTAGAATTTCCGCAGTGGTTTAGGGATGGCAATCTGCATGGTGGGAGGTATGGGACTTACACTCAAGTGACAAGGTGCATAGCACACATTTTAAGATTTTATTTGGAGGGAGATTTCAGGGTGAAAGGGATGTGTGATAGAGATTATTAGCATAATGGAGATTATTAGAGAGGCTAAGGCTCTCCTCATCTACCATAACATCCTGCCATTCTCCAATCAAAGCCACTGCCTGCTTTCATTAATAAAATGAACAAATTATCAAATTAGGATAAAAAGAGAGAAAAGATTACGTATATGTTTTTGAGAAGGAGGAAAGGATCTGGGAGAGGGGCTTAATTAAACAAAGTTTCTTCATTTATAACATTCCTCCCTCTGGAAGATGTTAGGTTTTTGTTTTGTTTTGTTTTGTTTTGATGTGGACCATCCTTAAAGTCTTTACTGAATTTGCTACAGTATCACTTCTGTCCTATGTTTTTGGTTTTTTGGCCACCAGGTATGTGGGATCTCAGCTCCCTGACCAGGGATCGAACCCGCTCCCCCTGTCCTGGAAGGCAAAGTCTTAACCACTGGACTGCCAGGGAAGTCCCTATTAAAAAAAAAAAAAAAAGAAAAAAATTTGATACAACTGAACTCATTTATAAAACAACAGTGGTTCCTTACAGGCTTCATGAGAATGTAACAAATATAATGACTTCCCTCTACTCTACTGAAGTATTTAATTCAAGGTAAATAACCTCTCAACTAAAGTAGATCTCACTGACCTTTATCTATAAGAATTACCTTCTCCAAGCAGAAGCTTTGTATGGCTTGGGTTACTTTAGGATTATCGGGGTTAAAAATGTCTGGATGATCAGCCAGAACAACATCCTCCATGAAAAACTGCCGCACTGTGTGGAGAGGAATTTTCTGCATGTTCATCTTCCTTCCTTTAATACGCAGCAGACCAATGTGTCTGAAATGAGGAGGGAAATGAAAGCATAGTCACATTGTAAACTTCCTCAGGAAAATGTGCACATCAAAACTATCATATTTCTAAATTTCTACAAATTATTCATAAAATCACACCCTTAAAAAGTGTTTTTAGTAATTTAATCTTAATGTTGTATCACAGGAAAAAACTTAAACATTCTTCTTCCCCCAAATAAAATCCATTCATACATCATTTTTCCTACAGCACTCTAACTTAAAATTTAATTAATAAAAACATTAGCCTTGAACTGGCCTAATGAGCAGCAAAATCATTAACACCATTGGGATCTTCTCCTGTTGAAAACAGCTTAAAATCTGGGCAAATAGTAAGACTGTATTGAATGATCAGTCTTTATGAATAAATCTATCATATAAATAACAGCATCATCAGTACCTTGAGCCTATGAGATGGTTAGACTATCACAGCAAATTATTTTTAATTGATTTAAAAACAATAATAATTACTCACTTCTTTACAGCTTCTCCTGGGGAAAGAGAAGTGACCACTGAGCTTCCAGGTTGTGATACGTAAAAGAGCTGTTGTTCATTTTTGGTTGGAGCTATTTTACACTCATGTTCATGGCCCCAGATAACCAGATCAATGAAGTCATCCAAAAACTGTTCTGGAATGAAGTTAGTACTTCCGTGTTTACTCCTATGCCAAGATTTTTAAAAATAAATATTATAAATGTCCAGAGATACAGAAAAACTTCATAATAAGTAAGTCCGTATAGATCTTTCTTTCTCCATTAACTAAAGATTTATTACATCCCTTCTATATGCCAGAAACTTTCAAGGGATTGGGGATGCAAAGACAGTATCTAATTTCTGCCCCCAAAGGGTTTACAAACTTGCAGGACACAGACAAGTAGAAGCCTCAAAGGAGAAAGCAGTCAATTCTACATACAGAGGCAGATCATGAAAGGCTTTAGAGAGGAATAACTCCCGCTATGGGAAAGTCAGAAAAGCATGAGCTCTAAAAATAGTAAAAACCTATAAATTGGTCTGAGTGTATACCAGAGTACAGAAAATGGGAAGTGAGTTTAGTCTAAGCTTTGTAAAATAAAGTCAAAACTCTAAATATGTTCCATCATTTTTTTAATAACATGTTTCTTTTACTGACTATAAAAATAATGAGAATGTCAGTCTTACACAGAGATAAGAGTTTTCAATATTAAATAAAATATTGTATGAATATGTGATTTTCAAACTCTCATTTTATACCTAGATTAGCTGCTATTATTAAAAGATATGTGAAAACCCAAAGAGAGGAAGACAAAAAAAAAAAGTATTCCCTAATACTGATTTATATCACTGAGAATTTAAGTAAAAGTGTTCAAATACTTCAACCAGCATTCACTTAAGGCAAACTGACATTCATTCATTGAACAAATATTTACTGTGTGTCTACTATGTGTCAGGTTTCCCAGGTCTCTTCTAGATACTGAAGACATAGCAATGAACAAAGTCCTTGCTCATTGTGGGGGAAATTAGCAATAATACACTATGTTTACGTATATGCATACACACACAACGCGCGCGCACACACACACACACACACATATATAAAATTTGTCAGGTAGCGACAGGTGCTATAAAGAAAAATAAAGGGAAAAATTACATGGAAAAGGGAGGCTACTATACAAAGGGTGGTCAGGGAAGGCATCTCTGACAGGAGACAAATGAGCAGAGAACATAGAGGAGGGATCAGGTGTGCATGGGAAGAAAGTCCTAGGCAGAGGGATGAGCTGATGGCAGAGATGCTGACATGGGAATGTATTCAGTGAGTTCAAGAACAACAAGGAGACCAGCGTGGCTAAGCAGAATGAATGCAAGGAAGAGCAGGAAGTGAAATCAGAGAAGCTCATGTATCTAGGAATATTTATGTAAAAAACATTTTTATGTAAAAAACATTAAGATCCTATCACAATTACTGAAGAAATGCAGAATAACTCAAATACGACATGATGTAACTATGCTTTAATGGAGAACTGGAAAAGGGAAGATTATGCTGGTGGGCTGACTCTGATTTGTGACCTAGAAGCTGATCAAAACATCTTTGTGGAAATATTTTGCATGACAAAATTGCTCAGGGTTTACCTTCTTTTGCTGCAAGAGAAAGAAACTTGTCCACATATAGAAACAAATGGAAAATAAAGTAAAATGTAAAAGGCTCAAGAATTCTCGCTTAATATGAGAAAACCTGTTTTTTATAAGATCCTGAAAACAGTAACAAAAGAAGTACCTAAGAATGCAGAGGATGACAAATGAACCTAACAGCATTACAAAAAAACTATTATAACCACAATGAAGGGGTAAGGGAAAAGGAACTGACCAAAGTTAACTTTAGAAAGTGGTGTTTTTGACTAGATATAGTAAGGCTAAGGACTAAAATAACATACAAACACTGTACCCTAGCTGGCAAATTTGTTTCTCACAGGGCTATGGGTCAGCAATTTTGAAATTACTTTCTTATGTCAACCAGTATTGAAAAAAAAAAAGTAAATATACCGTAGATAATACATTCGAGGTTTCTAACTGTTAGAGAAAGAAGTGACAAATAAGAAAAGACAAAAATGAATCCTGTAGAGCTGGATTCGAATCAGTATGAACTCGTGCTTGTTTTTTTTTTTTTTAACATATGTATACATACAGACATGTATGCATGGATTAGTGAATATACATATATTTCTTTAACTCTAGTCATGAGGGCTAAGAGACCCACAGTAGCAATAAGCACATTTAGTGGCCATATCTGGGTTTCAAAATACCACTCTCCAATAAAAACAATTAGGGCTCCTTGGAGAAGTGGTTGATTCTAGGGCTTGAGGAGAAAAAATACAAGATGAGCCAGGAGCATCTTGTGGTACTAGAAGGTTAAGGACATGCTCAAAAAACAAAAAGGAAGAGGGCATGTTGAAAGGACATAGAAGCCAATGTAAAAAAGCTCCCAATGGTCAGAGTTAAAACAACCTGAGCAACAAAAAAACAACATCAAAAAATTAAAGGATTGGATTATAACTCAAAGAATTAAATAAACATCCTTGAGTCCACAGTAACATAAATGAATGAATGAATGAATAAGTAAATAAATGAGAAGGGACAAATTTTCCTAACAGAAGAATTTCAATTAATAATTATTAAAAGAATGAGGGAAAAAAAAAATCAGAAACAACACCACAGTATTAATTGCTGGAAACAAGATCCACCAATGGATGCTAAAATTTGTGGGCAAAAGTTTAAGTTGAAACAGAAAGTTCACATAGTCTCAATGAATTTTTCCCAAAATATTTATTAATTACAAAGTAGAAAATGGGACCTCCACAGGGGAGCAACCTGGTCTACACCACCTTAATTGAATGATCAAGATTATTAACATCACCAGTAACCAGCCATACCAACATTATACTACCCATTCCCCTTACCAATGCTGCCATTCCAAACTTTCATTCTGGCTTGGAATCGCTGATAATTGTTCCTTCTGACTTATCCCTACCTTGGGAAAGTACAAAGTGTAGCAGAACTGGAAAGCCCTCCGCAAGAGAAGGAACAAACTCCCAGTTTGTTATATGGAGACCACACATATCAAAACTCTGGACTGCTCCTCTAACCCACACTGTTTATTCAAGAATATACATAAGGCAACATAAGACTGCCCCCTAAAGCCTTTCTTTCACCGAGTACCAGTGATGGGTAAGTACCAGAGTATTCTGCTGTCAATAAATATCTGTTCAATAAATAATAAATTATATAATCAGGCCCCAAACCCCTTTAGATTCTTCCTTAATAACTTCTCAGCTTTGTCCCTTACATATCATTCTCACTACCATCACTGTTACCATCTCACACTTTTTTTTACTATAATGATCACATAATAAATCTTGCTTCTTCAAATCTCTATTCCTTTCAATCAATCCTATACCCCGCCAACAGATTAAATTTCTTAAAACTACTAACGAAAGAAAGTTGATCTAGCTATATTTAATATTCTGGAAAAACACTTGTATATATGTACCAGGAAAAATCTATAAGAATGTTCCTAACAAAAAGGTTTAAAAAAGCAAAAATCTGGAAATAACACAAAACACTAAGAGGAGAGAAAGCTGAACTGTATACATCAGTGAAAATGAATTACACTTTTAAGCACCAAAATGGATGAATCTTAGTAACTTAATGTTGAACAAAATAAGCCAACTGCAAAATATAAAGTATCGTGTTCCAGTTATACCAAAACTAAATAAAAAATACTCATAATGAATGTGTATGTGATTAAACAATAAAGAAAAGCTATGGACAGATGAAATAAAAATTGAAGATAGTGCTTCCTCTGGAGTTTGAGGAAAAAGGTGTGGTCAGGGAAGGGCATGGGGTAGGGTACTGGTAATGTTCCACTTCTTTCTGAATTTAGGATTATTCATTTTATGGTTCTTCTTATCCATATGCTAGAAATATTCTTTGTATGTATGAATATATACTGAAAACAATTTCAAGATGCAGTCACACAATGCATACCGAAGTCTTGCCTGATCCTGCACTGACAACTTTCAAAGCATAAGGAACATTTTACTGAAATAGGTAAGCTTGGAAACAGAGATTTGGGGAACCTCAATACTTGACTCAAAAATTTTCAGAGACTACTTTTACCTGTTCTGATGAATCACAAATAAGTTAAACCAAGAGTTCCCATCTTCTTTTGGTCTCAACATTGTCACTTTTTTGTTGACGAACATTCGATAGAGCCTTTCATCTGGAATGGATCCTGAAATGGATATTATATTATTTTAAAAGTGGTTTCTTACTCGGTTTTAAAAAACGAATATGTTTTGCTTCTAAATTATGTGTTTCTCTGAGTATTTCATTTTCCTATTAGAGAGATATTTGAAATCTGATATCATTAGTTACAAATGAACATGTTCCAGGTTCATGCCTGACAGCTGCTAAGCAGTTAGTTGCATTTGAAGAATGTTTTCCAGGTCAAGTATATATACTTTCAAGATCTGGAAAATGTGGAATAAAAATTTGAGTTTTCTATGCTCAAATTCTTATTAAAATTTCTAATAATATTGTTTTCCACTCTCCCTTTATTTATTCTAAGTATATATGTACTTTTGATTTAACATATACATTGTAAAATACACAGGAAGAGATATTACAGGGGATGAGATTAAAAATGTATTTTAAAATAATAGCCTTATGTATATTATGCTTTTAAATAAAAATACTGTGCTTTTCAATAATTTAATGACTTTTAAATAACTCTTCCTATTCCCCAAAGGATCACCTTAGTCTAGTGAAGGAGGCCAACAAAAACAATTAAACATGAAAATTGCAATTTTAAATATTATAAAAGGGAAAAAAGTCAGGCTGCTAAGATGGGGATTATCACTGGGAGGACAAGGTTGCTACTTGATGGAGTGATTAGGGAAGGCCTGGGAAGAAAGGCCAACACCACATAAGTATAAGAGCTAGAAGAGGTCTAGCTTCTAAAAAGAATTCCTAGTGTGGCCAATGAAATAGATGGTGGCATGCAGAATATATAACTGGAACAAAAAAGCCAAGACCTAAAAAAATCCAGGGCATTAGAAGGTTGATCTACTTGGCTGTCGAAGCACTGAGAACACTGACAAAATTGGAAGGTAGGCAAGTAAGAAAATTGAGGGAATGAAGAAGGCAGTTTAGCCAGTTGGCAATTAGCTTCAAGGGTGTTTGCAGGCAGGAAAGGAGGTATCAGTAGGAAGCAAGGAGAACAGTGACTTGCCCTCCACCCCTTATGCCCTAAAGCCCATAAGAGGCCACGAGAGAACTAAGTGGGACACAGTATCCTCAGGGGCCACTCAGTTTCACTGAGGGTTAGAGAGTACAGACAGCATTCAGAGACTGATGAAATGAGGGAATTTGCTAACTAAAAAGAGCTCTAGAGTATACAGAGCTGGGGTGAGAGGAGTGGGTGGATGGTAGAGACAGTCCAGTTAAGGAAAACAGAACAGGATGAGATGAGAGTTTGGGCGAAAATGGATGCCTGAAGCAGTTTGCTTCTGGCAGTGACTGAGGCATAACGGGATCTGTCCTTAGTCTGAAAATAGGAGGATCAACCATTTTCTGCAGATATGATCCCTAACGTTACAGTGATTAAAATACCTGTTAGTAGTTTTTTAAAAAAGCATATTCCACTTCCTGCTCTATCACTTGCAAAATCAGACATAATTCCTTGATCGCATTTTCCATATCTCTAAAATATAGATAACCACGATGCTTTTCTACTTGTTGGCGAAATTATGAAAATTGGGCAAAGACTATAAGCTTCCTAGAGAAGCTTCCTAGAGAAAGTATGTAAATAAACCACCCATCATAATTATTCTTTAAAAAACATACACAAAGAGAAATGAAGTAAATAAAATTTTCTAAGGCTTCTATTATACTAGTCACTCAAAAAATAATAAAAACTATGTAGAAGCTACAGCGTGAAACTTTTTCTCAATTTCTCTTGCGGTACTTTAAGGTTGGTTTAACGTGAAGTATAATTTTTATAATACTCTATACACAACAAAATCAATAAAACCACTGCATCCATAAAACAAATCAAACTGAACTTAATCCAAGGAAGACACAAAAAATAGCCTTTGAATGCACTCTAAAAATAGTCTTCCATTCATATGGAATAAAGCCTAGCAAAAACAAGCATTTTGCTGGACACTAAATGAATTGAAGACAGTGAAGCTGATAAAGCAAATTTTCTTAGCATTAAATGACACTAAATGAATTGACACTATTCCATTCATATGGAATAAAGCCTAGCAAAAACAAGCTTTTTGCTGGACACTAAATGAATTGAAGATAGTGAAGCTGATAAAGCAAATTTTCTGAGCATTGTAGATGATAGCTCTAGATTAGCACTGCCTAATAAAAATATCATGTGAGCCACTAAAACAGGCCAAATATGTAATTTTAAATTTTATTTTACTTGTTTTAATATGGCTACTAGAAACAGGTGAAATTAATTTTAAGATATTTTATTTAACCCAAAATACCAAAGGTATTTTACATTTTTTTCTAAGTCTTTGAACCCTGATGTGTATTTTATACTTATAGCATATCTCAATTCAGATTAGCCACATTTCAAGTGCCCAGTATCTACATGATTACTGTATTGGACAGTGAAACTTTAGAACTTTCAAAGACTTCCAAGATATCAAAATGCAGTTTTTCTAATTACTCTGTAAATGCTAATGTTCAGGGTTTTTATCTGAGTCTAAAAGAAAGAAAAAATAAACAATAAATAGATACTAAAGGAAAAATATTTTTTCACCAAAACTGCTATTAAAAATAAGTATCAAGGACTACTGGTGCTTATAAAATACTAAAAAATTTCTACCAAAACTTTCTATCATTTTTTTAAGTCACCCATAAGGAATAATTAGATTTGCCTCACTTTTCCCCAAACAGCAGCAAAGTTAACTCCAGAATTTGATTTCCTAACTGCTTAAGCATTTATTGACATAAATAGTAAAATAAAACCATCTTACCTAAGCCATATAGAGCAATTTTTGTGCTTCCTTTTTGAAGCAAAACCGGACTAATGTCTATCTTCTCCACAGACATTGAACGTCCAAAGTGATTTACAAATCCAGCACAACTTAAAATATCCAGGGCACAGAGTGCATCTGCCTATGCAAAATATTTTCAAATAATATAAATGTATATCTAAAAATAAGTAATCTGCATATCATATTATTACTTATTAAAAGTATATTTTATATAGTAGTTACAAAAACCTAGATTAGGATAATGTCTTCTCAAAACAAAATTACAATAGTAAAAGTATTCGCTATCTTTTTTCTATTACAAGTGACCCACTGCGACTGGAATCACATGCTAAATGCAAAGTTAACATTTCATCAAAACTTATGATGTCTTGTCCACGGAAAAATAAAAAACAGCCATGAAATCATATTAAGCAGACCTCTTAAGAGGTGAGAAAAAAAGGACTAGCTAAGTAATCATTTATAATACATTAATGACCAGATAAAACAAAAAGATATTTTGAGATTATTTTAGGACCCCTATTATTAAAGATCTTCCTCGACTTACAATGGGTTTAGGTCCCAATAAATCCATCGTAAACTGAAAATACCGTTAAGTCAAAAATGCAGTTAAAGCACCTAACCTACCGAAAATTATAGCTTAGCCTAGCTTACTTTAAACATGTGCAGAACATGTACATTAGCCTACAGTTGGGCAAAGGTATACTTTTACAATAAAGTATGGAGTATCTTGTGTAATATACGGAATAATGTACTGTAAGTGAAAAACAGAATGGCTGTATGAGTACAGAATGGTTTTAAGTGTAGCAACTGTTTACCCTCGTGACCATGTGGCTGATCGGGAGCTGTGCCTCGCTGCCCAGCATCACACGAAAGTATCTTCCCACATATCGTTAACCCAAAAAAGATATTCAAAATTCAAACTTCGAAGTGCAACTTCTACTGAATGTATATCCATTTTGCACCACTGTAGAGTTGAAAAATCTAAGGTCGAACCCTCATAAACTAGGGAGTCTGTACTTTCATATCAAACAGAAAATAAGATGATCTAATTTAGATTTAAAACTGTTCATGAAACCCTCATTTCCTACAGGTGAGATTTATGTGATAAGAGATACAAAAGCCCTTGGTAAACTGTAAAGCATTATACAAATGTTAGGTGTTTATTCCTCCTCCTGGTTACTTATTGTTAACCTTGGCACTTATGAAATAAATGTGTATGTCACATGCCATTTATTATTCCAGATTTTTAAAAATTATCAAAAAAGCAGTATAAAAGCTTGTATGAATGATAAAAAGTCAATTTGGGGTTTCCCTGGCGGCGCAGTGGTTGAGAGTCCGCCTGCCGATGCAGGGGACACAGGTTCGTGCCCCGGTCCGGGAAGATCCCACATGCCGCGGAGCGACTGGGCCCGTGAGCCATGGCCGCTGAGCCTGCGCGTCCGGAGCCTGTGCTCCGCAACGGGAGAGGCCACAACAGCGAGAGGCCCGCGTACCGCAAAAAAAAAAAAAAAAAGTCAATTTGAAATTTTGACTCAATTTGACTACAAATTGCTGGGAAGAACTGAAATGCTTTCCAAAGACAAACTAAACTGATCGTTTCTAAAATTTCAACAAACTAAGAACCCAATAATTACCCCCGTAGGATCATCATGATTGCCATGAATACTAAACACAGGAATTGAAATGTTGAGATTGCTATCTTCGTAGTTCACCCATGGAAACCTTAAAAGAAAGAAAGAAAAGTTTCTGTAAGAGACAAAAGCTGTTTCCACCGTTATCCTCCTCCAAAAAATTAATACAGTTATAGGCAAACTGGATGATCTAAGCTGGCAAATGACCACTAGTTTGGAGCTTTAAAAAAATAAAATCCTAGGCAGCAGTTCATTTCAATTCAAGTTTCAAAAGATCTCAAAGTACTACACTTTAAAAGAAAACCACACAAATACATGATGCTTATGAACTGTATGAAAGATTTGAATATCTGATTAATGGGAAATAGGCTTTCAAAATTTTGAAAGCCTTTATAAAAGGTTATTTGTAGAAGCGGGAGGGGAAGAAATACATCTACTCTGGAATCCAAAAGACCTAGATTAAAAACTCCAGCTCTGGGCTTCCCTGGTGGAGCAGTGGTTCAGAGTCTGCCTGCCGATGTAGGGGACGCGGGCTCGTGTCCCGGTCCGGGAAGATCCCACGTGCCGCGGAGTGGCTGGGCCCGTGAGCCATGGCCGCTGAGCCTGCGCGTCCGGAGCCTGTGCTCCGCAACGGGAGAGGCCACGACAGTGAGAGGCCCGCGTACCGCAAAAAACAAACAAACAAACAAAAACCTCCAGCTCTATCACTCACTACTTGGATGACTTAAAGCTTCCCACCCACTCTTGCCCCTAGTCACCAAGGTTCTCTTCTCAGGGGCAAATAACATTAGGAATTTCTAGTGTATCTGTGCAGAAATATCTTATACCTGTAAAGCAAATAAATACATCTTCCTTCTTAAACAAATGGTAGCACAATATAGATTTCTGCCCCCCTGCCTTTATCACTTTACATACTTTATAAATCATTCCATATCAGTACATAAAGAGCTTCCTTGTGATTTTTTTAGCTGGACACTGCATGGATTATTATAATGTGTTTAAGTAGTTACCTATCAATGGACATTTAGACTATTTCCAGCCTTTTGTTTTACAAATATTGTTACAGTGAGTAATCTTGTACAAAGTTGCCCTTGTGAGAGTATAGGAAAATATCTAGAAGGAAACTGTCAGGTCAAAAGGAACACATGCATCTGCAAATTTGATAACTACTGCCAATTTCCCTCCACAGAGGTTGTATGATTTACTCATAGTACAATGGCAATCCATGAGACTAATTCCCCCTACTCCACCAAGATACTGGGTGGGCCAAAAGGTTCATTCGGTTTTTTCCCTAAGATGGCTCTAGTAGCGCTTAGTTGTCTTTAACTCCATTTGAAACAATTTTGTTAGATTGTATGTGACAGTTGTCATATCAGCGTGCATTTAAAAAAAAAAGACTTATGAAAATTGGTGAAGGTTTGTGTAGTCATTTTAATACTGAAGATGGAAGAAAAAAAGCAACATTTTTGGCATGTTATGCTTTATTATTTCAAGGAAGGTAAAAATGCAACCGAAATGCAAAAAAAAGATTTGCGCAGTGTGTGGAGAAGGTGCTGTGACTGATCGAACGTGTCAAAAGTGGTTTGAGATGTTTCGCGCTGGAGATTTCTCACTGGACGATGCTCCCTGGTCAGGCAGATCAGTTGAAGTTGAGAGCGATTAAATAGAGACATTAACTGGGAACAATCAACATTATACCACGTGGGAGATAGCCGACATACTCAAAATATCCAAAACAAGCACTGAAAATCATTTGCACCAGCTTGGTTATGTTCATCGCTTTGATGTTTGGGTTCCACATAAGTTAAGCGAAAACAACCTTCTTGACCGTATTTCCGCATGTGATTCTCTACTTAAATGTAATGAAAAGTTCCGTTTTTAAAACAAATTGTGACGGGCAATGACAAGTGGATATGTACAATAATGTGGAAGGGAAGAAATTGTGGGGCAAGCGAAATGAACCACCACCAACCAAACCAAAGGCCGGTCTTCATCCAAAGGTGACGTTGTGTATATGGTGAGATTGGAAGGGAGTCCTCTATTATGAGCTCCTTCTGGAAAACCAAACGATTAATTCCAACAAGTACTACTCCCAACTGGACCAACTGAAAGCAGCACTGGACGAAAAGCATCCAGATTTAATCAACAGAAAACGCATACTCTTCCATCAGGATAACACAAGACCGCATGTTTCTTTGATGACCAGGCAAAAACTGTTACAGCTTGGCTGGAACTTCTGATTCATCTGCTATATTCACTACACATTCATTGCACCTTCGGATTTCCATTTATTTAGATCTTTACAAAATTCTCTTAATGGAAAAAATGTCAATTCCCTGGAAGACTGCAAAAGGCACCTGGAACAGCTCTTTGCTCAAAAAGATAAAAAGTTTTGGGAAGATGGAATTATGAAGTTGCCTGAAAAACGGCAGAAGGTAGTGGAACAAAAGGGTGAATACATTGTTCAATAAAGTTTTTGGTGAAAATGAAAAAATGTGTCTTTTATTTTTACTTAAAAACCGAAGGCACTTTTTGGCCAGCCTAATACATTATCAAGCTTTTTCAATCTATGCCAGTGGTTCTACACCCTAGCTGCATGTGAGAATTTTCTAGGAATCTCTGAAGATCCACCAATGTCCAAGACACATTCAGAGAGATTAAATGACCTGGAGACTGGGCATCAGTATTTTTTGCGATTCTTAGGTAATGATAATGTGCACCCAGGATTGAGAATTACTGATCTATATCAATCTTATAGGAGAAAAATATATCAGTATACTTCATTTTGCATCTTTCATATTCTTTTAATATGTTAAAATGCTACTTTATTTCTTTTTCTATGAACTATGTCCATATTCTTTACCTATTTTTTATTAAGTCATGGACTTTTTTTTTAATTGACTTGAAAGAACTACTTAACTATTAACTACTGGGAAAATTAGACCATAATTTGCCATGAGTTGCAAATATTCTTCCTGGTTGAACCCAGACTTTTGACTTCGCTTTGGGAGGCTCTTGCCATGCAGAAATTTACTTTTACAGAGACAAACGTTATCAATCTTTTTTTTATGGATTCTGGGTTTGTGTTAACACTTAGAAAAGTCTTTTTCACATCCAGATCTTTTTAAAAAATGTCTAACAGTTTCTTCTAGTTCTTTTATTGAATAAGCTATATTTTTTGTGGAGATATGAGATACCACCTTTATCAAATACTAAATTCCCACATGTATTGTGGCTATTTCTGGAATTTCTATACTCTTCCACTTATCTGCCTATCAATTCGTGAGTCATACCACTTTTTAAATTATTGTAGCATTATAATATACTTTCTTTTTTCCAGCTTTATTGTGATATAATTGACATGTAACATTGTATAACTTTAAGGTATACAATGTGTTGATTTGATACACTCATATTTTGCAAAATGATAACCACTATAGCTTACTTAACAGTTTAAGCTTCACACACACCTAGCTTAACAGCTGCATCATGTCACATAATTGCCATTTCTTTTTCGTAATGAGAATATTTAAGATCTACTCCCTTAGAAACTTTCAAGTATAAAATACAATATTACTAACTATAACCACTATGCTGTACATTAGATCCTGAGAACTTACTCATTTTTAAACTGAAAATTATACATTTTTTTGATCAGCATCTCCCCTTTTCCCCCAACTCCCTGCTCCTGGTAACCACCATTCTAGTCTCCATTTATATGAGTTCAGCTTTTTCAGATTCCATATACTGTATAAGTGATATCACACAGTATTTGTCTCTTTGTCTGACTTATTTTACTTAGCATAAAGCCCTCAAGTTCCATCCATGTTGTCTCAAATGAAAGGATGTCCTTTCTCATGGCTGAATATATATATATATATATATATATATATATATATATATATATATATACACACACACACACACACACACACACACACACGGCTGTGTGTGTGCACATATATCTGCACACACACACACACACACACACACACATATCACAACTTTATCCCTTCTTCCACTGATGGACACTTATGTTGTTGCCATATCTTGGCCATTGTGAATAATGCTGCAATGAATGTGGGAGTGCAGATTATCTCTTTGAGATCCCATTTTCATTTCCTTCGGATATACACCCAGAGGTAGGATTGCTGGATCACAGAATAATTCTATCTTTAATTTGGGGGGGAACCTCCACAGTGTTCTCCATAGTGGCTGCACAAATTCACATTCCCACCAACAGTGCACAAGGGTTCCCTTTTCTCCACACCCTCTCCAACACTTGTTCTCCCTTATCTTTTTGATGACAGACATCCTAGCAGGTGTGAGTTGATATCTCATTGTGGTTTTGATATGCATTTCCCTGATGATTAGTGATATTGAGCGCCTTTTCATGTACCTGTTGGTTGTTCTATTTTTGTGAAAAATGCCATTGGAATTTTGATAGGGATTGAATTGAGCTAGTCACTACTTATAGTCTTCTTTTCTGAGTTTCCCTATTTTTTTTTTTTTGGTCTATTTTTTACATGAACTAGTAAACCAGAGGGAAAATTATCCAAAATATAGTACAAAGAGATAAAGTTTTAGGGAATATTAAAAAGTGGGTAAAATATAAATAATTTTCAGAAAGAAAAAGAACAGGAAACAGAAAACATACTGGATAAGAATTTTCCAAAATTGCTGCAAAAAAAATTCTTAGTTTGAAATGCATGTAGCCCAAACAGGATAAATAGAACTAAATCCACAACTAAATATGTCACAGTAAGACTGCAAAATGCTAAGGGCAATGAGAAAAACTTAATGGTTACCTGAATGCTTTCTTTATGCCAGCTATTATTCTAAGCAATTTTCTTATTAACTCAACTACTCCTAACAACAATTCTGTAAGATTAGCACTATTCTTTTCCCATCTTATAATAATGAAACGAACGTAGGGCAGATCCAGGATTTGACCTCAGACAGTCTTATACCGGAATCCATGCTTTTAAGCACTATGTTATACTGCTTTTCCAGCAACTAAAATGACAGCAAGACTCCTCAAAAGCACCAAAAAATAAGAGTTTACTGACAGGCAGTGAAAAACTACTAAACTGAATCTAGACAAAAGGAATGAAACATAAGAAACAGCAATAGTAAGCAAAGAAATAGGTAAACACATCTACGGGGTGGGTGAAGCAGTTTAAAAATAATAAAGTTTTAGATTTGAATAGAAGTCGGGTAAAGACTGATCAGAATTCTTAAGAACAAGGACATATGTTAAAAATTACAAGAATCTTTTAAAATCCAATTCTGTACTCAGCCAAATTATCAATCCGAAGTTAAAAATAGCCATTTTCTTACCTAAAAAAATCTCCAAAAATTTACCTCCCAATATAAACTCATTTAAAATACACTTGTTCTCCCTTATCTTTTTGATGACAGACATCCTAGCAGGTGTGAGTTGATATCTCATTGTGGTTTTGATATGCATTTCCCTGATGATTAGTGATATTGAGCGCCTTTTCATGTACCTGTTGGTTGTTCTATTTTTGTGAAAAATGCCATTGGAATTTTGATAGGGATTGAATTGAGCTAGTCACTACTTATAGTCTTCTTTTCTGAGTTTCCCTATTTTTTTTTTTTTGGTCTATTTTTTACATGAACTAGTAAACCAGAGGGAAAATTATCCAAAATATAGTACAAAGAGATAAAGTTTTAGGGAATATTAAAAAGTGGGTAAAATATAAATAATTTTCAGAAAGAAAAAGAACAGGAAACAGAAAACATACTGGATAAGAATTTTCCAAAATTGCTGCAAAAAAAATTCTTAGTTTGAAATGCATGTAGCCCAAACAGGATAAATAGAACTAAATCCACAACTAAATATGTCACAGTAAGACTGCAAAATGCTAAGGGCAATGAGAAAAACTTAATGGTTACCTGAATGCTTTCTTTATGCCAGCTATTATTCTAAGCAATTTTCTTATTAACTCAACTACTCCTAACAACAATTCTGTAAGATTAGCACTATTCTTTTCCCATCTTATAATAATGAAACGAACGTAGGGCAGATCCAGGATTTGACCTCAGACAGTCTTATACCGGAATCCATGCTTTTAAGCACTATGTTATACTGCTTTTCCAGCAACTAAAATGACAGCAAGACTCCTCAAAAGCACCAAAAAATAAGAGTTTACTGACAGGCAGTGAAAAACTACTAAACTGAATCTAGACAAAAGGAATGAAACATAAGAAACAGCAATAGTAAGCAAAGAAATAGGTAAACACATCTACGGGGTGGGTGAAGCAGTTTAAAAATAATAAAGTTTTAGATTTGAATAGAAGTCGGGTAAAGACTGATCAGAATTCTTAAGAACAAGGACATATGTTAAAAATTACAAGAATCTTTTAAAATCCAATTCTGTACTCAGCCAAATTATCAATCCGAAGTTAAAAATAGCCATTTTCTTACCTAAAAAAATCTCCAAAAATTTACCTCCCAATATAAACTCATTTAAAATATATATATATACAAATAGATAAGAAATAAATATAGCTATGTCTGTTTTCAGGGGTTACTTTATATATATATATATATATATATATTTTTTTTTTTACATTTACATGTATACGTGTGTGTGTGTGTGTGTATTTAAGCTGTATGCACTGAGAGAGCCTAGAAGCAGTGACAAGACAATAGCCATGTGCATGCCTAGCATCCAGATTCTAGCTTCCAAATTCTAGTTCCATTCCAAAAGGAACCAAGACTCCTTGAAGAAATGGATAAGTCTAAAGCTAGGGAAAAGAAAATACAAAATTAGCCTGGAGCATCTTACAGAGCAAAAAAGGGGTGAAAAAAGATGACGCCATGTTGAAAGGACCCAAGAGGTGGTCTGAAAGAGTGCCCAATGGCTAAAGCTGGATCAATTTATCTGAGCAACAAAATAGATTATAATAGTATTAAATTACCATTCAAAGGAAAAAAAATGAGTTCATACTGATATAAACAATTGAATAAATTCCTACTGATATAGACAACTGAATAAATAAATAAACAAATGGGGGACAAGGGACAAATCTTTACGGAACTATTCCAATTAATAAATGCAGAAAGAATGTGGGAAATGTTTAGAAAATCACCATTAGGACACCACAGTTAAAACTGCTGTAGGCAAGAGCCACTGACGAATGCTAAAATTATTGGACAAACTTTAAAGAGAAACAGAATAGTTGCATAGCCTCCCCTAAAATATTTACTAATTACTGTAGTGGTTTTAACACGCCCATAAATTCTTTGATACTCTTTGCTCTCTCCAGGAAGTGAAACGTAACGCCCTCTCTTCAGTGTGGGCTGGACTTAGCTACTCTCTTCTAACAAACAGTATATGGAAAGGGAAGAATAGTAACTTGACAGTGGAGAAACCTGCAAGACACCATCTTAACCAAGTGACCAAGGTTAACCTCACCAGTGCAGGCCATGTTGATAGCATGTACTCCTTACATACTGAGAAGGGCACTTCACCTATAAAGAGTATTCCTTCCCCCAAACCAATAACCCTAGTCTAATCACGAGAAGTTGAGAGACATTCTACAAAATATCTGACCAGTACACTTCAAAAGTGTCAGTGTCTGTCTGGAAAAGACTGGCATAGGCGAAAGGAGATTCTGAGACCATTTCAACTAAATGCAATGTGGTATCCTGTACGATGTTTAAGAAAAAACAGAGTACCTTTATGACATGGGGTTCTAGGTGGATATTGTAAATAAGTCCCCAAAGCACAAATATTAAAGAAAAAAATAACGTGTTTGACTATGAACATCAAAATTAAATATTTCTGTCATCAAAAGGCCCTGTAAACAAAATCAAAAGACAATCCACTGATTGGGAAAAAATAGATGCCTTAACAAAGGCTTAATATCTAGAAATAACTCCTGCAAATTCAAAAGGAAAAGGCAAAAATATCCCAATTTTTAAAATGGACAAAGGATATGAACAGAAGAGATACCAAATGTACGAAAAAAATTTGAGAAGTTACTTATCTCACTATTAATTAGGGAAATAGAATTTAACACAATGTACAGAAAATTCAAAGAACTACATTTACCAAGGAAATAGCTTATAGTGAAGGTAAAATGGCTAATTGTTACCGTGTTCATGTGTCTTATACAGAACATATTATATATTATACATACATGTAATATTAAATATCATAAAGAAACATCCATTTAAGCATTTAAATATACTTACTTACTAAAACCAAAGTTGACTGACTGATCGCTGATAATTTCAAACTGTACAGGACGATCCCCCATGCAATATTTTCTTAATAACTCGAGGCAGTTATGTACTGTTTTTCTTGAGGGTTTATTTTCATGAAAAAGATCACCCCCTAACAAAATGAAATCCACCTAATCAACAGAAAATAGTGTGAAAATTAGTATGCTTTATAGATAAAAATTTTAAAACTATAGCACAAAGAGATAGAAAAAAAATCTTGTAAAAGATACAATTATGTGTGGAGATTTAAAGCTTCATATTTTGTTTCGTTAAAGGGCCTTTCAATCTGGTTATTAATATGACTTCAGCTTAGGTTCCTAGACCACCTTCAAAAAGGCCATCTTCAAATTACTACACCAAGTTTCTAACTCACACTACCCAAAGTGATCATACTTGTTTTTTTAAAGTTATCCAAATCAAACATAAACTTAGCACTTTAATAAAACCTATGGAAGGGATAGCAGATTCAATCCAAATTATTCACTTGATTCATTCAACAATTATTTAGCGTCCCTACAGGCACTGGCGGCTAAGGAAATAGCAATCTACAAAATATATCATGTCCCTGCCCTCATTAAATACAGACAGCGTGCCTTACCCTATACTGAGTGTGATAAATAAAACACGATCCCTATCCTAAATATGTTCAAAATCTAATGGGAGAGACAAACTGCTAAGCATCTAAACGTAAGTCAGACTCTGACACACACTAGAACAGATATATAAACAAACCAGGAGTAAAGATGACATTACAATTAATTCCAACTGAGAGGAGGAAATTCACCCGAGGACAACATCTGGGAAGAATGGGCTAACGTGGTGGCATCTGAGTTGCACCATGAAGGATAAATGAGATTTCGAGGAAGAGCATTCAGGAACAACCAGAGAGAAGGGAAATCACACAGAAAGAAAGTCCAACACACTTTCAAAAGTGTACAATCTACTTAAAGAAACTTGATTAAGTTCTTAATTATACAAAAGAACCCAGCAATACAGATCGCCATGGGCTACAGTAGTGAGGGCAGCAGGATATGTCACCACAAAATGGACCACTGTGGCAATGTGGACTGTTTTGAGCTGAAGGCAATTCAGACCCAGGAGAGTCAGGAAAAGCTTTTTTACCTCTCTCTAAACTGCCTAAAAGAATCTGGATAGGGGGCATGTACCAGGAAGAGAGCTATTACCAGAGATAATTTCTGATATCAGAAAGATATCGCATGGCATGGCAAACACCTGTTTACCAAACATGTGCTCGTCTCATCTTCCTGTGCATTGCCTTCCTCCCCTTTAAAGCCCCAGACTCCTCTCCCCTTCTCCTTAGCTCAGGATGGCAGATAAGCCTCAATTACTTCACTGCTGAGGAGTCTCATATTTTTGTGGGGCTCCCATGCATATGAAAATTGTTTTTACCCTATTAATCTGTATTACGTCAACTTAATTATTAGACCAGCCAGGGAACTTAGAAGGGGAGAAGGAAGAGATTTCTGCCCTGACAACAGTCAGAGAGACTTCAATAAAAATGTGGGATTTAAGCCAGGTCTTCAAAACTAAACATGATTTGAGTAAAGGGAGAAAATGATCATAATCCAAGGCATAGAAGAAACAAGACAAAAACAACAAAGCAAACAAACATTTTTGCAGGGGAGGGGAAAGAGAAACAGTTGTTTAAATGATATAGCTTCACTTTTACCAGACGAAAAGAGTTCTGGAGGTTGGTCACTCAACCATGCAAATGTGCTTAACACTACTCAATTGCACCCTTAAAAATGGTTAGGATGGTAAGTTTTATGGTATGTGTATTTTACCACAAACAACAAAAAAAATTTTTTTTTGATATTTTAAAAAACTGGTTTGTGACTCCAGGGATCACTGAGAACACAACTTGCTTCTGTGGTATTCCTGCCCAAAGTGAATCTACTCATGAGGAAATGTCAGACATCTCCAACTGAGGAATATTCTGCAAAAGTAACTACCCTGGACTCTTCAAAAATGTCAGGGTCATGAAAGACAAGGCAGACAGAGGAAACATCCCAGATTACAAGAGACTAAAGAGGCATGACAACTAAATGCAAAATGTAATCCTGGATTGGCATCTGACCACCACTGACCTGCCCCCAAACTGCTATGACAGACTTTGTCGAGACAACTGGCAGCATCTTAGAATTACATGATCGTACTGAATCAACATAATTCCCTGGTTTTGATAAGTGCACTGTGGTTACATATGTAATTTACTCTCACATGGTTCAGGAAAAGTGTGTGTGTGTGTTTATGAAGAGAGAGGATAAATCAAATGTAGTAAAGTGTAGGGA